CAGCCAGCTGGACGGGACAAGTGACCGCCATGTTACTATCACAGGAACACCGGTCAGCATCAACTTGGCCCAGTACCTCATTACCTCTTGGTAAGACCCAGTGTATAACTATCTAATGAATCACAGCAAGAGCAGGCCTGAGATAAATGCATTGGTTTAAAAGGGTCAAAGGTTATGCTATAGAGTGATAAGTGATAATGAGGTATGTCCTTGTGCTGTGGGTAATTGGCCTCGAGGGAATGAGTAAAAGCCTGGTTGTACTGTACGTCATAGCAGCAATGTCTTGTTGGTATTCAGTATTTGCAGTACAGCTCTGGCTTCTTTTTTTAATGAACTTTTGCTGAGATCATAACAAAAGACAAAATGTTATAGTAAATTATTGAAGACTGAGAAACAGAACAAATCGGGCCACATATAAGTAGTTAAAACAAATAAGATGATACAAAATAATTGTATTAATAAAAGAATAAAAAGAAAAAGCTTAAATAAAATACAATATAAATACAAAAGAAATGAGACATTTTCCCCAACAAAGACTTTGAATATGTATTCCCTATAACTAAAATGTCAGACCAAACTTCTATTTGTCAGTCTTTGCTATTAGAAATTCGAAAGAAGCAATGTCTGTGGTTAATATGAACAATACAGCAAACTATAATTCTTGTTTGTAGCCTGTAGTAGGAGAGACCCGTCTCTTAATAAACACAGTGTGGCAGTGATTTATGCAACCACTCTCCAATATTACTACTATACTTGTTTCCAAAAAGGAGAAACAAAAGAACAATCGCACTTTCACCCTCTGGGTTTTGTTGTGATTGGCTTTACTTCATCTGTGTTTGGTGTTCAACAGACTACACTGCTCTATGTGTACAAATAAAAATGTATTTATTAAAATCTAATACATAGAAAAGTATTGAATCTCCTATTTGCCTCAAACGGGGGTTGCAAAAAAGTGACAAAATAAGGAAGGATGTCCATGAATCATTGTTATTACACCAAATAAGGATGTTTTATATGTTGTACGGACTATACAGGAACCACTGTATGTTCTTTATATATATATATATATATATATATATATATATATATATATTGCTTTTCTTTTTGAGATTTTTAACTTTTTAATTAGCAAAATTTACTTATTTGAGGTTTGGTTTGTAGTGTTGTGTATAGAGTAGTCAGATATCACAGATGCATAGAGACAATTTTTTTTTTTTTTTTTTTAAACAGCAAAGCCAGATATATTGTCTGTTGTCTTTTTGTTATGCTAGAAATGAGGCGTGGGTTACAGAAGTCTTTCTAACTCCACACCCCCAGGTTTTTGATGCCCTGACCTACAAATCACATTTGTTTGGTACAGACCCCCAGCAAATGTTATATCATATTGATATAATAAATGATTTTAATATTTTTTTTCAGTGGAAATGAAAATGATGATGCAAAAATTACCATTCCCACTAATTGTGAATCACATTGCAATCATAATATCTGTTAAAATAATTACAATATGATTTATTTTTTTACCATATCGTGCAGCCCTATCTGTAAACAGACTGATGTGTAAAATCGGTGAAGTTCCCCTTTAATGATTTTCAAGAAACCCAGTTACATTGCCCAGTGTTGCAGCAACAGTATAATCCTCTAATCTTCCTTCTCTGTCCTCCTCTCCCTATCCTCCCTCCTCCTATCTCTGCCCTCATAGTTTAGAGACAGCCAAATCCACGGCCCAGGCAGCCACCATGGCAGCTCCAGTCGACCTCAACATGGCCTTCACCCAGCCAGCCTCCCCAGCTGCTTCCCCCGCACCCACCCTGGCCGCCATGGGCGCCCTGACTCCGGCTCATATGCTGGGCACCCCGTACGGTGCCATGCCCCTCTCCAGCCTGCTTGGGGTGAAGTCCGTCCCCTTTCTGACTCTATCCAGCCCTGCCCCCACCGTGGCCGTCACTGCAGCACCCTCCCACAGCTCCCTGGCTGCCTACACCGCCAAAATCTCCTCAGCCAACTGCATCAAAAAGCCAGAGAGACAGAAGTTTGCTCCTTACTGATGTAGATCCTGAGCACCGTGTCTGGAGAGTCAGATGAAGGACAGCTGCAGTGTTCTTCCACAAAACGCCTGATGTAGCCATATCCGCTGGCAGAGATGCTCTTGACTTTTTATTCTATGATGCACCAACAGAGAAGAGACCAATGGAGATGTGGATAAAGCTATTAAAAGTTATTTACGGTTATAGATAATTTGTGAGTTTGCCATGAATTGATGGACTGCTTTCATCGTCACCTCATCACTGTTATTGATCACTAAAAGAAGGGCTGGAACCTCACCTGAGAAACACATGTTTAAATATCAGTTTTACATGTGTATCTCAAGTTAGAGATCAGCTATAAGTATTTATCCTTCAATAAATTTGTAAATTATACTCAGATGAGAAATGCTCTACTGTATGATGCTTTTATACAATGTCTATGTTTGCCTCTTGAAGTTTTTAAGAAAATTTGTAAATGTCTGAGGGTGGGTGGGGTGGGGATTTAGTTTGTTTTTTAATAATCTGTGCTATGGTACTGTACTTTACTGTTCAGTGTTATGTTCATTTTGTTGGATTTTATTTTGAATGTGCAACTTCTTTAATCTTTATTTATTAGTATTGTTTCATTTATTAAAAGTCTTTGTTTCCTGATGTATTTGTCTCCCAGTTTTTTATCTCTCTTTTTTAAACTTTTATTTGAAGCACGCTGGCGCACAAAACACTGCCAGTATGTTCATTTGCTTCCCAGGCACTCAAACAGCAGACACGCATTTGAACCAAATCAATGTCAAAGTAATATGGCAGGGGGGAAATGGTGTACACAGAGAGATGCACTGCCAGATCCAGGTTATTTTTGTTTGTTTTTTCAAACACAGGCTGGATGGCAGCTTGTCATTCCAGTTGCCAATGAGAGATGCTTTCACATCATTGTGGTCTTGTGCCCCAAACAATAACAGTAGAATGAGACAGAGCAAACCCCAGAGGAGACAAGAGTTCTGCCTGCATGCCAAGCAATGCACTGACATACATGCAAGTGTGCACAAACAAACAAACAGACACAGAATCACATACTGAATTCACTCACTGTAAGTCCCTTTAGACAAAATACAGTGAGGCTTTAACACAGACGAGTTGTGAGGAGGATAGAAAAGGACACACAGAGAGAAAGAGAAGAGCCACAGTGATGCTGTAAAAAAAAAAAAAAAAAAAATGAAATTCAGTATGTGCATCAGCATGCACCACAGCATCATCATCCTCTGGAGAGACAGCTAGGATCCTTTCATCCTAACTCTTGTCTTTTTTTTCTGTGACTGCATCATGGATATGCAAGACATTGAGAGTGCACAGTCCTCGTTGTTACCAAAGACATTCGCTTTCAGAGGCAAACAGACACGCCTACAACTTCAGTGTTATTCAGCTGACGTCTAATGAGCGGCAAGTAAGACACAGACTATCTATCTATCTATCTATCTATCTATCTATCTATCTATCTATCTATCTATCTATCTATCTATCTATCTATCCTTTGCATCTATTGAATTCAACAATTTATTTTTAGAAAAGAAAAAGAAACAGATTTATAGGTGAAGTATTCTACTTTGATGTTTTTTTAATGCGTCCTAAATTGTATTTATAAACGGATTGGATGATTATTTCTAACTATCCGACAGAAAATCTTAATGGTTAACTTGTGCCACCTGTAGGCCACACATCATTGCTCATTACTGAGACTGAAGCAGATCCATGTTCATGACATTCACAGAAATATAACCTTGCATTTATTTATACACAGGCCATGTTTTTCTTCTTTCATGTGAACAAATAAAATATCACTTTAACAGCAGCTGCAGTAACATACATCAAACAAAAAGATATGTTTCATTTGAATATCAAAGTAAGATGCTAGTGACAGTGTGAAGCTTGAGCTGGTGAGAGCAGGGACCTCAGCTGTCAGTTTGTCTTTTTTTTCCTTCTGTGGTGGACCCAGGGGTTGTGTGACATGCTGTTAACACACGCACACACACACACACACACACACACACACACACACACACACACACACACACACACACACACACACACACACACACACACACACACACACACACACACACACTTCAAGCAGATCAGTGGTGTAGATACATTTACTCAAGTACTGTATTTAAGAACAGTTTAGAGGTACTTGTGCTTAACTTGAGTATTGATTTTACTGCTATAGTTACTTTTACATATAATTACAATGCCTAACAAACAGTTATACTTTTGATTAAATGCATTTTGCTGCCAGTACTTCTGTATTTTAACTTTTTGAATGCAGAACCTTTTTACTACTTTTAGTTGTGTATGTTCACTCATCACCTTTTAAGTTGCTATGGCGATCAATATTTGCATGTCCAGCAGTTAAGGAGCAACATTATTATTCATTTGGAGTTCAATATTCACTCTCTTTTAGCTCTGTTTTTTAGCCTATTCTCCTGAGAGAAATATGTCTCTTCAGTTGCTGAATGTGCCTCTGTGTTTACCAGCTAGTTGCTAATTGTGTCTGTCAGTGCTGAGCAGATAGTATACAGTGGACTTTTAGAGCTTATTCCCTGAAAATGACAGTCAACAATAAAGTTGTGGCCAGACAGCAAAAACGGTGAGCAGGAAATCACTATAAAGCTCAACAAAGCCAAGGAGAGCTGCTGATAAATGTATAGGTTCATCACTAGTGACCTCTTTCACATTGTTTTCACATTGTCATTTGATTCATAGTAATCTTTATATCGACTATAGCCGCTTTAAAGTAAAAGATCTCCATACTTATTCCTCTACTAAAGCGACACACAAATCAGTGCAAGCGCAACAAAAACTGGCCTCATTCTCACCACCTTGGTGTCTGATTTGTGTGTTTTCATAACAAACACCGCCCTCTAGTGTCAACTTGACATACTACTCCACCAATCACAGCACAGCAAAGGTAAGGAGGAAGAGTTAGAGCTGATAAAAGATTGTCTTTAATGTTTGGCATCGTTAATGAATTCCATACCACAGCAGTTATGGGAGTAGGAAAACCACTTTTACAACCAAACACTGTTCGATCATGCTAACACCATATGTACAGGAAAGCACATTGAAAAGTGTATAAAGTATTTATATGAGAAGACTCAAATTCAAGAACGGTGGAGACAGCCACAGTCTAATGGATTTGTCCTTTTTCAAACACTGATTATAGATATTTATCAATTACATTGATCTCTGGAGTACATGTATATACACAAAACAACAATAAACCTTTTTGGGGCGTCTGCAATAATTCTCAAAAATATTTCACAATACTGCTGTATGTACAATAACAGAATTTACATTGAAAAATTCTATACCTTGTACCTATATTTTGAGCATCACTTCAGTCACCAGTTATCCTCAATGCTATCAGGCTCACAAGAGATACTCACATACTGTATATATCTATCTTCAGGTTCATCTCCATACAAAGTACAGCAGCTTATGCGGTACCTGGGCCTCCTGTTTCGGTACGATTTCTGAAATATGTTCACACAACTGATGATCTTACATACAAAAATAGATGTTGTCTAGTCAGCTGACAACTTGATGTACAGTAACACAAAGCATCCACCTGCAAAAAAACAACCAGGAAAACAAGTAATTGTTAAAATATTAGCTATATCCTTCCAACCCACTACATTGCAATAAACAGCGCTGTTCTTCTGCTCCACAAAAAGTAAACCTCTCTCTCAGTCCAGGCTTCAGCGTTCTTCTAAAACACATCATCAGTTTTCACACAACAGAAGGTGATTGAGAAAGAGCCGCAGGCAGAATAAGAAATATTAGCGCTACAAACCAAACAACAACCTGAAACCAAAGCGGGACGAAACCATACAAAAACATCACTAAGTAGATATCTTTTTTTTTCCTTCAGGGAGCGTATAGTGAACAGAATGAAAAGGAGAGCGGCTGTCGCTAAATGAGCTTCTCACAGTCCGGATGAGAGGTCAAACTGCATTTGAGTGCACTTAAGGCAGGTAGGCGATTCCAACGCTGTCTGAGTGGGCTCCTCGACTAGCCACTCAGCAGACAGGGGCCTAGACAGTATCATTAGACGCAACGCAATGCCACTGCAGCTGTCCAGGGTTCAGCCCTCACTGCTTAATATGGTCTGACAACCATACAGAGAAGGAAAAAGATGGAGGGAGAAAGAGAGAGAGAATGATGTTTTCAATGTCCAGCAGGTGGTTGAGGTGTGGAGAGTTCTCGTTCCATCCCTTCTTCATTCACCATGAACATGAAACATGACAGGTGTGGGACCTGTCTGTCATTGTCCTCAGTTTCCCCTCAGTCTTCTTCTCAAGATATCTTTGTCACACAAAAGAGACAAATAGACTTCTTCAACATAGACTGAACTTAAAGCACTTAAACAAAAACCAGCATTGCAGCTTGGGCAATACAAATAGAACATCTCATCTGAATACATTCACATAGGTTTTCCATACGCAGGGTACGGACGGGAAATCGTCAGTGACTGAAGTTTATGTCCCTTGAGATGCCAGTCCAAGAGGAGAGCTGCGAGTCCAACCTTAGAGACCTGCCATTAATGACAGCCCGGCAGCAACACGGATTAGAGTGCGCCATTTGATATGATTCACTATTAAGGAGCACTTAACAGTGTTTTGAAAAACATAATGGACATAAGCCTTTGAAAACACTATAATGTATTTGTATTATGCATTTATTTATCAAAATAAGAATTCATATATATGAAGCATTTAAAGCAGAGAAGTCACTTCACTGTGAATAATAACCTTTCTGTTGTTGCCTCGTGTTGTGAAAATGACATGAAAAGCAAAATTAGGTGAGTTCAGAGCTTATACTGCACCTGGGATCATGTTGGTTATGATCACGGTTGTCATGTTTCACAAAACTGTTGTTGTATTATTCTCAAATGAAAAAACATGCTCACAGACAAGTTGTACAAGTGTGTACAATCAATATCAATTTCTGAACAAAGTTGATCCGTCTTCCTGTTCAACAGATACATTTCTTTTAATTATATCTAAGAGGCCACGTGGAGCAGTGACGGCAGTTGTGCCTGTAGTTTCTGTAGATTCATCGAGGTTCAGTCCTTCTATTCTTTCCTTTAAGTGCACTGAAATTAAAGGTCAACTGAACAACTCCAACTGCTTCACATAAGACTCTTTCTATTACTGCTCCTTTAACTCAGTGCAAATGAAGGGAAGAAGACAAGGAGAAGTGATCTCTAACTGAAATGTAGCTGGAGCCTCGTCATCACTGTGTCTCCTCGTGCTCCTCGCTGATGCACTGCTCCCAGGCGTGTTTCCCCTGGTCCTCCCTGTGGCCGTGAGGGGAGTGGAAGATCCTGCGGGGCAGCGGGATGGGCTGAGGTGGCAGCTCCTCCTCGGGGATGCAGCCCTCTCTCAGGTAGGGTTTGGGTGGCACGGCTGGAGGCTGAGGCCTGCGGTAAGGGATGTGGTGAGGGCCGTGAGTGGGAGCGTGGTGGTGAGGCGGCGGCCCGTGGGAGTGGCTGTCCAGCCCGGGGTGGGCATGGGCGTGAGGATGCGGGTGGGTGTGCGGGTGCGAGGCAGGGCTGCGGTAGTGGAATGGGCGGACCTGGTCCACGGAGTCGATCTCTGGTCCGCCGTAGTGGATGTGCAGGTAGGGAGAGGCCAGGTACTCGTCAGGGGGAGACCACAGGTGACTGGGAAGGGGCTCCAAGGCATCGTTCCTGATGGGGCCAGGGTCTGGATACTGGCCCCCGAAGTTACTCTCACTCAGAGAGGAAACCCCACTGCTGGCGCTGCCTGACAGAGTGGAATTACTGCCACCCAAAGCTGACTGAGGACTGGTGGGGGAGCCAGGGATCGGGTGGAGAGGAGACTGGCGAGAGAGAGAGTGAGTCAGAGATAGTGTGGATGTTATGGGTGTCTCGATCTACAGTAAAGAAGAAAGTGTCCACTGCTGTCACAACAACCTGAATTTCAATACTACTCGTGCTGCCTTCACATGCTGTCAGAAATATTGGAAAGACAAGTTACAAATTAGAGAAGATAAGGAGTCAACAACTCCTTCACTCTGACATTGTGTTTCAAACACTGAGGCTTTGTAATTATGACTTGACTGCTGGAGTGAAAGAAATACTGTGTCTACACTCAATCATCAGGCACTGCAACATTATATATTTAATAAAGTGACTTTAAGTGAAAACAATGTGTGGGAGCTGACAACTTGGAGCTTCTGTGAAGGCAGTGTTACCATGACAAAAGACGGAAAATCTCATTTTATAAAATTCTAAATGTGTTTCCAAAGCTATGATTACAATTTCAGCATCATATCTACACAAGGTTTCATGTAAATTTAAGGACAAACAAGGAGAAGAGAAGAATTAAAAGGAAAAAAGCAAAAAGATGAGGAGAAGGAAAAGTGGCTTCAACAATGGACTGCAGCAATATTTAGCGGAGTCAAAGAATTGAGATTTTAATGTACTTGCACTTTTTGTACTTCTACTCCACTAGAAGGAAATAGTTTACTTTTTTACTCTACGCTACATGTATCTGACAGCTATAGTAACTAGATACTTCCCATATTAATGTTTTATGTAACAATTACTTGATGATCTTATAAAATCAACACATTGCTAAAGGTTAAAGAGTGGTTCCAACCTTTTTGGCTTATGACCTCTTACAAAAACACAGTCTAGTTGGGACCACTTGTCATGTGTCAGATGACATTCTGACATTTCGCTACGAAATCAAAAATTAGCTACATAGCCGTTTCCAAAAAGTCCAAATTCTGCTGTTATGACTATACATATGATATTTTTCTGATGGCTGTACCTTTCGAAGTGAACGAACAGGCAGGGCAGGGGGAGGGTCGCTGTTCTGGTGGTGAAACGCATCACAGTGCATAAGAAAGTGTCCTGCAGAGTGAAGTTCATATGAGGAGATAATTCAGTTATACATTGCTCATAAGTTCTTAAAAGTCCAGTGTGTAACATTTAGGAGGATCTGTTGTCAAAAATTGAATATTATATATATAGGTATGTTTTCATTATTGTATAATTATCTAAATATAGTGATTGTTATGTTTTAGTTACCTTAGACTGAGCCATTTTATCCACAGACGCTGTGGGTTTCTACTTTTGACAAAAACTGACTCAAGATAGGGGCGTTCATGTTTTTTTGCATGTTTCATCCACCATAGTTTCTCATTTGTGGTTGGAAAGGGAGGGTGGAATGAGGAAGTTGCAATCTGCAACTGCACTGCTAGATGCCACTAAATACACACTGGACCTTTAAATTGAGATATACATCATACCCTGTGGATGATCATCACTTTTCTTCTTGCCATCAAGTCAAATATTTATTTAAGAGAGAGCTAGAGAGAGTTCAAACCCTGCTTACCTTCTAACCTCCACACAGCTGACCAATCACACTGGATGCCACTATCTTACACACTGGACCTTTAAGTAAAGGTTTTAAATAGCCTCGAAAAGCCAAACTACATCTCACAAGCTCGAGATTTTAACTGGATAACATCACTGACGTAAATTTGAAATGTAAATCTGTTGTCATGTAAAAGGAGAAAGTACCTGGTGGGAAGGACCTTGGTGGAACAGGGGGCATGATTACCCCTCCAGTAGAGGCTGGCATGTAGGACACTTGCTCCCTGTTCTCTCCATCCAGACTCCAGCTGCTGGGAGCGTTAGGAAACACTGGAGGGGGAATACATTAACATGTCAACACACATTGTGATACATCTCATGTAAATAATACTGCACATTTCAACCTTTACCTTTCTCTGGTAGGTTCATGTGAGGATCAGCACACGGCTTACAGGGGCTAACTTGCTGAAGTAAGGCACGCTGCATGTGGTTGTTCTGGAAAAAGCAACAGAGTTTTTAAACGAGTGGTATTATGTCTTGGTCCCTATTATGTCTTGGTCCCTGGATTTTCTGTTGATGATTTTTCTGTACGTGAAAATGTCATGGCACGTTGAGCAAAACCATTCTAAAAATCTCATTAACATTTAATTATTATAAACACAATATGGTGCTTCCCTACCTGTCCATTCTCTGCCATGTTGTAGTACATGGAGTTGTTGGCCCTCTCACGATGAGATGGCAGCAGTATCATCACTTCCCGGTTGTGTTTGGCCTTATCAGGCAAAGATGGAGAGCCTTGACCGACAAAAGACATGGAAACCTTTCTCATTATATGTAACAGAGATGTCTGCCTAAATATGTATGTATTTTATGTCTTGCTACCTTCTATATATAATTCATGAGATAGCTATGAAAGATATTTTCAGATTCTCATGTATCTGATCTGAGATACAAATGATAAAAACATCTAATATGATTTCTGTAGCTGTGTTCCTTACCTCTGGCACTCGAGGGAGCAGAGTTAATTATCTGGGAAGAGTTAGAGCGGATTGAGCTCAGGCTGGAGGAAGAGGGGCTCGGCTGCAAAACAAAATATATTCTAAACATAACAAAAAACATTGTTCTGTAATAGAAAACATCTTTGCTGTATTTGGTTTATATCCAGTTTTTATATTTTATCTAGAAGACAGGAAACTAATGTAGTTTAAGTGTACTGAGACAGAAGCATTCAAATGTTTATAATCATATAAGTAATCATGTAGGTATTATATGTCAGACCCTGAAAAGACCAGATTTATCTGATTTGAATTTTATAATATACAATACAAACTCTTACAACTTCCACTACATTCATGCCAGCTTGTGTTTTAAATTTCAGCCTTACCTGCATGTGTAATGCCTCCTCGGGGTGCTCCCCCATCAGGCCGTCGGTCATTATGACGAGGTTTCCTGCCTCGCTCGATGTGTGAGAGGACAGGGAGGAGGAAGAGTGACGGATTGAACCCTGAAGGTTCAGAGGGCTGCAGGAAAGAAACAATGTTGGAGACTGTAAAAAACATTTATCTGTGTGTTCATGTGAGTGTGTGTCTGTTTGTGTGTTTACCTGCAGAACCTATGCAGCTATATTTCAGGTAAACGTATTCAAACATTTTGGGAAAGAGAGGTAATTTACTGTATACTAATCCTGTGTCATTATAGTGGTTACACTTGGGTCAAGGTTAAGAGTTTATCAGTGGTTACGTAGCTTAGGTTAAATCATTAACCTATGAGAGCTTTAAATTTTAATATATATACTGGTTAAAGTATTAAAACTTCTCTAGGAAATGTTTTAATGTACAATACATCCATCTTGTGAGCCTGAATGACCAGTTGGGGCTATAACTCTAATTGAGACCTGCATATTCTATACATTTGGCCTAAAGAAATTCTAGATTGAAGGCGTTTATATGTCTTACTACTGTGATAGATTGGCAACCACTTTTCCAGTGCATGCTGGGATAGGCTTCAGCCAAAGGTGACCCTGAACAGGATCAGTTTATGGATGGAATTAAAAGACTTTTAAGTTTTAAACTCGGACCACACTTTCATCGTCAGTTTGGGTTGAGATTATAAATGCAGTACAGTTTGGATGGTCTGTGTGTGACTGACTGACCTGTGTCTGTGAATGAGGCGCACACTCTCAGGGCTCATGTGACTGTGGGAGGAGAGGATGCCTCTGGGAGAGTTGACCCCTTGGCATCCTGCAGGGCCAAATCGATCCACACCGGGCACACCCTGCTGGGACCCAACAATATACTGCTCTGAATATTTACACTGCTCACAGTTGCACAGAAGCACATAGCCACACACACAACACTTTTTTTCAGCATGAAAAACTGAGCCACATGTGGTGCTACTCACATGATGTAAACCAGTCCTCATCATGTGGAACTGGTCTACAAGCTTTTTGTGCAGGGGACGCATCTCTGGATGCACCAGCTTCTCGTGAACAGCCAGCCCCACCCCAAGAATGTGCACCTGTTAGAGGGAATGAGAGGCAAAAGCACTGAAGAAGATGCACCATTATCATGTGACTCTGTTTAACCAGCAGTTCCACATACAATACAATTCAGAGCTGTGTCTGACCTGCTCCTGCATCAAATCCTTCAGATGTGTGATCCTCTCTGTATCCTCGGGGTGACTGCTGATGTAGTCTTTATCAAAGAAGGCCTGTTGTCGGAGAGTCAAAAAATGAGTATCTCCCACAACATCAAATTCAATAAATCCACACATTATTTCCTTCCTCTCTACCTCCTGATATCTTGCGATGCCTCCGTTCACTGCAGCATCTATGACCCCATTTAGGCACATGCTTAGTGGGTTGATGTTGCCATGATGCTGTCTGTGTTGATACTGACTGATCAGAGTCCGCAGCTCCTGGGTCTTATTCTCCACCACATAAATGGCATTCTCCAGAGGGCTCACCTCCACCTGGAAATAAATATACACATTCATTCGAATCCACGATAAAAAGGGAGGAAGTATGTCTATATAAACACATTTCATACTCCTTCAGAAGCATGGCTTCTGGGGTGACTCCCCATCTCTTGTAAGAGAGCTTGAGAAAACTGTCTAGCATCCATCAAGTAAAGGAGTACGTGAAGTATAAGATGATAAGGAACGATTGTTTGAGCTCCTCACCACTTCTCTCCTTTCCACCTCCGCCCAGCGGGAGATCCCCGGGAGGGGACGGGAGAGGATCAGGGTCGTTCTCTCAATCCACAGACTCTGTTAAAGATGGAGACAGAGAACAGAGGTTATGCAGTGTGCTATCAACACCATCTGGTTACATTATAAAGGTCTGGTAGAGAACTGACTGTTTGTAATAGATACATAGCTGGGGATAGTGAATATACACAGTGTTTCTTAGTGTAGCATGTAGGTCAGTTGAGTAGAGAGTAAAAGTGAAAAGTCCTGCTGTGGTTTGATTCCAAATGTAGGTAACTGTGTCAAAATAAACTACAGTAGTGCATCATGTCTGGTCCAAGTCTCTAAAGCCCTGCGGGTTCTAGGTTTTCTAGCACTGTTACCTGTACTTTTACTATATACGTAAGCAAAGTAATTACAAAAAGAAAATGTTGCAGTGCAGTCAGTTCTGACAAAAATGATCGACAGATTAATCAATAATGAAAAAAAATTACTTATTAGCTGTAGCCTTAAATATAATTTAGAAAAACTCCTGGAAACTTTTGCCACATTGCATCATTTTGCAGTGTTTATGACTAATACACCTACAGTCCAGGCAGGGGATACTGTGTTAGTCACAATTACAAAGGCTGTTTTTACAAAAGTTTCATTTTTGGGTGAATACCTGATATCACAATCACAATTGTATGTTTTCATCAAACATAAGGCAACTTACAGAGGAAAAAAAATCACTAAATTAACTGAACTGAAATTTTCAGTTTGATCTATTTCATGTTTTTAACCAATGTTACATCTGAATTCAGCATTTCAGGGAGAAATGGACTGAGAGCGGCACTGCTGGATCCCCCTACCCGGAACTCATTCTCGCGGTCCTTGGGTCCTTTGTGGAAAGGCCTGTCATAGTGGAAGCGGCTGACATTGTTTATGCGGTAGAAGCTCTTGATCCTCTCAGGCACACGCTCCAGCTGAGGCACATCAGAGATGTCTGACACTGGAGTCACTGCATAGATCTGCAAGTCTAGAAGCCTAGTGTCAAGGAAGTGACTGACAGACAGACATGCATATTCACAGAGGAAGAGCAGAAGGGATATTCAAAGGAAATGCTTGCAGAGAGCGTTTGCTCTCACCATCTGATCCTGGTAATCAGCCTCAACAGTGTTTCTATTTGATCTGTGAAAATCTCTAACACATACATACATAAGCAGTGCAAGCTGTGATGCTTACTGAACAATTTTTTGTTAATCGACCTAAAAAAAATGTACTTGTCATTTACCATCAAAATGTCAACATTTGGCATTTGGAAATAACTGTTAGTTTTAGCCATATAAACAAAGTAGGATACACTGAGCGTCACTCTGCAGGATGGTATCGTCAGGTTGGTTGGGATGCTGCATGGCGATCGCTTGTGGAAATTCCCCCAACATCCTTTGCTGGAAGTCCTCGAGCCGTTCATAGTCATAACCACGACAGACAAACTCCTTGTTCTGCAGAAAGGGGACAGCTGGATTTGTTCATGACTGACAGTGACATGTTGATGAGAAACTGATGCACATGACTCTGAGGCCTCTAGTAAACTAATGCTCTGGATTTTTCTTATTGTTTCAGTACGAGTAGTACTAGCTGTTTTAGTATTAGTTGTACTACTTTAGTTTTTTAATACTAGTGGATAAAATTGAAAGAAAGGCATGTGATTGGATTCCTGCTAAATAATATAACATCTCCTGCTGCCTTAAACCTGCAATTACAGATTTTTTATGGCCAAACAGGGGCAGCAGAAACAAGCTGTGAACACGATATCAATATATCCTCACATTTTAAGTTGATTCACTCTCTTTTAGCTCTGATTATGGTCTCTACCAACGCAAGGGAAATATCTGCCTATTTAGCTACTTAAAGCTCCAATATGTTTGCCAGCTACTTGCTAACTTTGTCTTTCTGCTGTTTAGTGCAGGGTTAGTTGTGTATACTGGCTCTTTAGTGCTTTTTTGCTGAAAACAGCTGCCTGCTGCAGCTGAAAACAACGCTATGGGAGCAGTGATGGAGAACCAAAACAGCTGCAGGTAATAGAGCTAAACATTAAGCTTAAAAAATAAAGATGAAATATATTTGGCATATTCACATTTTACATTTGGGTTTGTGATTTTTTTTCACACATTCCACTGCTTCTTTCTGCCCACACATACCAATATACCACATACAACCAGAGGCCCTCAACTTACTATACTGTACAAAACATGTCAGTGACTCATTTATTTAGTCTCATTTTTAACAACGGCTTTCTATCTTGCACAAGCTACTGCAGCTGACATTGTTGCCTGCTGAAGCATGAAGCATCAGCAGAATTATAACTGTGTCAGGACAGACAAGATGAAACTAGATTTAGTAAGTCTTACCCTGAGGAAGAAAGGAAACTTCCTGCCATAGAAGCCCATTCGGAAGAACTCTGGTTCAATCCTCTGCTGTTCAATGATGTTGTCATAGTACGCTGCCTCCATTTTCTGTCACAGAATGATAAACATGCAAAAGAGTCATGATGAATAATGATTTAATCACACACATTACTGAATCCTCTGCATTTTCTGATGAGTGTGGGTGAGCTCAGGTAATTAGGACATTGTGTTTGACGCCATACGCACTTCACACCGCATAAGAGGATGACAATGACGAAGGGAGATGAAAATCTCACCCTCCAGCATCACAGAGGATGCTTGTTTGATAATAACAGCCGAAACAGGACACACGCAAGACTTTACTCACCCGTATCCAGCTGAGGCTCTGATAATCATACAATGTCTCGTACTGGAAAGCCAGCTCCCGGCAGAGAGAGATTCCATATTCCCAGCACTGCAAAGTCATATATAAATGAGATACAGAGTGAATGGAAGAACTCATTAAAGCTTAATTTATCCTTTATGATAAAAAGAAATCATCATTACAGTGCCCATGTGAGATTGGGAAACTTTGGAGGAGAAGCATGAAATTGTAATTCCAAATGGAGAAAGTATACAAACAATATAAAGGAATTACATAAACACAAATTTACTACAGGAAGAATCCCCGAGACAACTGCATGACTGCAGCATCCCAAAATTAAGAAGTAAATACCAGAGCCTAAAGAGGAATCATTATTTGAAAAGAGGGGTAAAAAAAAAACTTCATAAGAGTCTATACGAGTCCTGGTGAGCTCTATTTATATTCCAAAGGTTCGAGCTAAAAGCAGGAATATCATATTTGGAATTCTATATAACTTCAAAATGTGTGTGATCACTGCAAAGAGGCCAATCTGATCTTTCTTTTCTTTTTTCTTTTCAGGAATTTGTATGTACATCAACATGCATCTCTGCTTACTGTAAATTCTACAGTAATGTTCAAAAAGACAGATCACGATAAAAAGCAACTTGCAGGTTTCATTTACTGAATACTTACAGTTTTATGGAGATGATTATTAGAGTTAATGTATGATTTTATGTTTAACATGAAATTCAGAGGTATAGGCATTTATTTTATTCAGTTGTGGTGCTGATTTGTTTTGTTTTTCGTTTGTAAAGCACTTTATAATGTAAAGGTTTAAAAGGCATTCCATAAATAAAGTTATTATTATTATTATTATTAAAACTGTCATTGGGATCAATATTTATTATTGTTATATGTTAAACTTGATATTGATTTTTTTCACAAAGCTTTATTTAAGTCAACACACAAACAAACAACAATGACAAGGTGATGACATTACATGTCACATACCGTATAAGGTATTTAAGGTAACTTTATTTAAACTTTTATTTTAAAAAACAAGAGAGAACAAGAAGAAGAAGAAGAAGAAGAAAAGAAAGAAACTGAGATATGTATAATAATTGCACAGGTGATTCTAAATTCTAAGTCTAAATCCTAAATTGGTAAAAACTGTGGGGAGCACATATTTAATGGCTTTTGTCCTGGATGGATTTTCACATTTGTAACAGCGAGGAGGATTCCACAGGTACACAACGGCTACTTATTTTTTGTACAAGAGCAGCAATAAAAACTAGAGATGACACAGAGTTAATGAAGGAGGCTACTTTTATTTCCTTCTCAGCTGCTCCCAAAGTCCACAGGGCATTGTCCTCTCCAAAGCACAGAGACCAGCCAACTGATCTAATTTTGTGGATGAATACCAGCCAGCGAGGACTGATTTAGAGAAGCAAATCACATTTGAGCATACATCTGACCCTCACTGAGCAGCACTGTGATGTGGGAAAAGGCTCCATGTTTGTATTTATATTATATGATATTCACTGTTTGCTTCATTACAAAAAACTCAGTCACAAAAGTTCTTAACATTGTAGGGAAGATGTTGCTTCAGCTATAAAACATGTGGTGGAAAGTAACTAAGTACAATTACCCAAGTGCTCTCTCCACTCAAATATATGTTTTTCTTTTTGTTCCTACAGTTGGATGTTTGAGCCTCACTGTACAGAATGCTGTATGTGCATAGTTTGACACTAGAAGGATGTTTTCACATTCATCTGCTGAAAGTTGAAAGTTTCTCTGAGCTCACTGAGAATCAGATTTAAAGGGGCGGGGCTACGAGCACGGTTTGTGTGTGTCAGTCCTGGTCATTGAAACATGATACACTGTAGTATTGCTACTTTTACTGATATAAAGGATCTCAGTACTTCTCCACCATTGTATAAATCTAGTTCAAAAGGTGCAAGCAAGAGTAATCTATAAAAATAAAAATAACAGAGCCATAAGAATCACTAGGGGCTGGTAAAAAACACTGAGAAAGATTATAAGAAAGACTACAAGATCCTAATGAGGGTTAATGAGGGCAACTTTTAATTATGTTTGGGAACAGCTGCATTGCAGATGAGAATAACATCCACTTGAAAAAAGTTATAAAACTTAACTTTCACTTATCTAAGTTGATTTAGTTTCTGATGTGGCTTGTCCAGCACAAACCTATTAATACTGTTCCACAGCTATAAAGTTAACTTAGCCTTGTCTCTTTATTGTCACATTTTACTGTGTGAACTTCAGTTGCATCACAGCCAAAGGCTGGTGGGGGTCAGAAATTATTCACTTTTAACTGGCTTGAAGTCAATCAAAACAGGAGTAAGAGATACAGCAATAAAAATTCACTTACCTTGCCCTTGTTGAAGTAGTGGAGGATTTTACGACTCAGGTTCTCCTTACGTTGCCACTCGCTCTGACAGGGATAGTGGAGGAAATCCCTCAGGGGCCGGTCCTCCCACTGCAGCAGCTCCCAGTACAGCAGCAGGGTGAATGCTGCCTCTGTTTGCCGAGGGGGATACAGGTCAAAGATCATCAGAATAAAAGTGTATCATCATGATGATTTGCTATCTAATACAGCTACAGATGTTTATGTCTGGCCACAGTGACAAACTGATATCATTCTGGGTGCAGTTTTTGTGAACTTATGGCGTATGACACAAAGTGCAGTCAGTGGCACAGAGCACAAGTTGCCGAGAGCATGGTGAGTATGCTTTGGTATATTGGTAGCCAGACGTGCAAAGTGCACCTGCACAGTTGAAATCATATCAGCTGCTCTCCGTCCCAGTTTTTCTCAGTTTTTTTGGCACAATCCTTAAATGAAAATTATGATTCTGAAAACACTTAGAGAGGGTTGGAGGAGAAATACAGTGTATAATTCTACATTTCTAAATAGTTTCTAATTTGCATTTTTGTTATTTTGTGACATTTGTCTTTATTTTATGAATGTTCTGTGGTGCATTACTGTTACATATAACTCAATGTGCATATTGGACATACCATAGAAGTTAAAATCAATAATAGACTAGTTACTTTTAGTGACTTGCATCATTTTGAAATAGTATCTTAGACATTTGATAAAAAAACTATAGAAAAAAAAAACTATAGAATAAAAACTATAGAAGTAAAAACTATAGAAACAAACAAAATGCACACTCTCCAGCACCAGTATTGAAAGAGTTGAAGGAAAGAGTTGTGAAAACTGATTTTGTTTAGGTGTATTGTCACATGGATTGAATAAACTAGAGCTGAAATAATGAATTAATTAGTGAATTGAAAGAGGAAGCTCAATTAGGAGAATGTGTTTCTTTTATTTGTCTTATGAAGTAATTCATTAAATATATTTGTGTTTTTTAGTGTTACCTTGGGCATTAGAATGTGATTTATTGTGATTTTTCATTATTTTCTCACATTTTCTAGATTGAAAAAGATAATCAGCAAATTCATCCATAATGAAGAGAATCATTAGTTGCAGCCCTAAAATAAACGGTACAACAACATGAATCCATTGAATCCACAGTATAAAACCAAAGACAAATGATGCTCCCTTTCAGAGTTGAATTCACATCTTTGAAGATTTGAAGAAAGTTTTTTTTTTTTTAAGGCAGACAATGATTCACACTATTAAAACATGTGCAATCACAGCCAACTCTGCAGAACACTCAAATGTGTTTTAATTATCTTGCCAGCTGCCTGTTGTTTGTTTTACGTAAGTGATGAATAAGGTTGCATTTAATTAGTCATATTTGGCTACGTTTACATGCACACAATAAAGCCTCTGCTGCCAATAATGTGAGTAAAGCAAGAACACTTAAGCCATTTACAAGATTACATAAACTGCAGCTTCCCCTGATTTCCTGTTTACATGATTGAGAGTGGCATTACTAGACCTGAATACAATTTACTGTGAACCCCTCAAATTACTAATTTAGCCTTTTCTCTGAGATATAAATGTGATATAAATCCTGGAATCAAAAGAAACATATTTCTGATGTTCAGACTAAGTGAAGACTGATGTCTTTATGCTAAACTGCCAGCACATAGCCATTCTGTCTATTTAGCCTGTCAAGAGTGTCTCTATACTCTAGCGTGATGTTTACCGTGCAAGCCTCTGTTTTCATCATACTTTATTTGCCATTGTCGTCCTTATCTCTGGGTGAACAGGGAATCCAGCCCTGAAACTATCACCTTTGAAGGCCTTACACATTCACATGTTTTCAGCTTCTCTCTCTAATTAGACCTCTACTCAGGCGGAAGGTGGTTGGGTGCTATGCTGTGAAATATCGGAGGTCACCTGGCTCCATGTGCTAATAAGAATCATAAAGATTACATTTGTATTGCCCTAACAGGAGCAACAAAAATTAACCGGAGAGTGAGAATCAAGTGCAGTCTGTGCACACCCACACACTCCTGAAGGTGCAGTCAAACTGGATTTCACCAAGCAAAATCTACCTGCAACCAGCATCCACCCTTTTCTGCTTCTCTCTTTATATTATTTTGTCATACAGTTATGAAACAAGTATATAAACGATGAATATCTCCTGAATGAGAAGTCGGGCAGCTGTGTGATTTTACATGTCAAAGTTCAATCAGACCGAACACCACATGTAATTAAGTTTTCCCCGTTGTTGATATAAATGAATGGGAAGTGAAATACTACACGTAGTTAATCAGCTATAATAAGTGAAATTGCCTGTGTGGGTAGGCCAATGGGCATGCAAGGACTTTAACAAAAAGAAATAGAGCTATGATTTTGCTCTACATATCTTTCTTTTTTTTTTACTGCAGCCATAATTGTTTCTCTACTGCATCGACTATATTTTTTCTCCCGGGAACTCTTTTGGTAAAAATCCAATGAAAGGGCATGCAGGGCAAAGGTGAGGCAAAAATCGGTTGCTTCTCAGTGCCAGCCAAAAAATGTAAAAATATCACTTCACCCAGAACAAAACCTCTGCGCTAAACCATTCACCACCAAAAAAAAAAGTGACCCAGTATCGTTGTTACCTGTGAAGTCTTCTGCTTGGAGATGCAGGTCACACAACTTGTGGATATAACGGATGTACATGTCCTCCTTGTTGACCTCTGATTTGTAGAAGTTCTGGGGTTGAATTAAAAAGAAAATGAAGGGTTAAAATCTTATTCCATGTGTGGAAGTATTCGTGAATGTGTTTCTAAAGTCGAGACTAAAATGTCACAAATGCCTCACCATAAGGTTGACGGAACCACCAATTTTCTTGTTCTCCATCTCATCTCCTTTCATGCAGTCCCTGAACATAAAAAAAATATATTTTTTCTCATGGGTCTGCGATTTTATGACGTAAACCATTAGTACTATTATGTGTAGCTCAGTCTCAGCATACCTGTAATCCAGTAATCGCTCAACAAGTCTTGTGACTGATGTGACGAATGAAATCCCTGTCTCTCTCCAGGTCTCCTGCTCTATCTTCTCCAGCAGGCTGCACGGAAAATACAGTGAGATGTTGTTACTAAGGTGAAGAGCAAAGGGAGTAAATAGATATGAATCAAAATGTCTCAGTCTAAGCAGTGAGGGCATAACACCTCACCTTGGATAAGGCCCAAACAGCTGGGTTCTGGGGTGAGACAACATAGAAGTATGTTAGAAGGAAACACTATGAGAGCAGCATTATTCTGAGTATCACTTCACAGGGTCACTAAACTCAGGTTTGATGCTTACAAAAGGCTGAAGAGCTCTCTGTGATTATCATCGCCTTTCCCATCCGACACCATGCTGTCCAGCTTATCCATCAGCTCTGCTTCCACCTACACACACACACACACACACACACAGACACACACACACAAATTCAGCCACACGTTCAGTGGATATGTTATGATTGAAAGAGCTGTCCGTCTTTATCTTCCCCAGCACAGCACTGTAGGCCATAAGATAATAATAATAATGCCATAATGACCTGTTTGAAGTTGCCATTTTTCCTCTGCTCCCAGTCCATCATGTCATGAAAAATTGGGATCATAATATTTCGAACCTCAGTCTGCGGCACCAGGGTGACACCAAGGAAAGGACCCATCATTCCTGGGATGAAGTGGGGCTTGTTGTCACCTGAATTACACAGATTCACACAGATAAGAGTCACTGTTCTTGGTAATTTCATAAAAATCAAAATGCTTTCCACAGTACTGTGTTTGTGTGTGGCGTTGTGTCCTCGACGCACCTAATTTTTGCCACATTCTGAAGAGCTCATAAGCCATCATCACTCTCATATCTCCATACCTAAAAAGAAAAGAGAGGAAAGTGAAGTATAGAAAGTGAGATAGATGATTAACCTGTGTTAAAAAAGAATGCACACAATGAATATATAGTGGTTTCTTACTTATCGAGGACTTTCTTTCTCTTAGCCGGGCCGAGCGCCTCCAGCTGCAGACTGGGCTGGTTGATGTACAGTACGGTGAGGCTGAAAAAGGAGTTCCACACCTAACACACACCACAGACAAAAACAAAAGCAAATAAAAGCTTAGTTGTTCATTCAATCATTAACACAAATTTCAGAAACTGAGTGAAAAAGCATCAGATGTTTTGTGGCTTCATGGTGTGGTGGTTTTCCTAAATGCTAGCACCCCGCTGTTCAGACACACACCTTGAAATCAAAATCTGCCTCTGAGAAGTTCTTGTGCAGCGCCGGAGACAGGAACTGTGTTGTCACTACGATGATACTGCAGAAAGCAAAGCAAACATTACACTGTCAGCTTACAAAACGAGGTAGCAGCCAAAAATAGATGAAGATATTTGCAACACAAGCGTCACCTTCAGAGCCGGATTATCTGAAGAGAGTCTGATCTAATGGTTGGCTGTATTCCCTAACCAACTCCAGGACAAAGACTGCATGACAGAAAAGAAAAAGCAGACTCACTGACTAGTTAGAAGCCTCATGACACTCCAGTCTCGAGGGAAGATAGTCAGTTTCATCAGATTGCGGAACACGCAGAAGATCTTCAACAGGAACTCCTGCCAAGGAATATATTAAGAAAGTGTATGCAGTCAAGGTATGTAGTAAGCAGGATGCAGCGAAATGCTGTAATCATGCTCAACTCACCTTCAGCTCCTCCTTGCTATGGAAGTTGTTGAGTAGATGGTGAAAGTGGATCTCTGTCATCTGTCTGAGCAGAGAGAGCAGACAGGAAACATACTCCCCCTGCAAAAAAAGGAAATGAGAGGTATAGGCAGACACATTTAAAAAGGTCAGTCAACTCAAAATATTCACCTGTTTTTATTTTGCACGTCAAGGAGACACATTGAGTGGAAGCTTACCGTTATCTCGGCAGTGCACTGGGGACAGCGTTGTCCTCTGGATGTCTCCACAGAGTGAGACTTGCTCATGATGGACAGCAGAGTCTGTAGCAGCACATCCAGAAGGCTCTCCACCATCATCTCCACTTCCTCCTGAACAGAAGACTCCTAAGACACAGAGAGCAAGTAGAAGGACGCAGAGTCAGCAACAAAGCTACAAGCTAACAAGCTACAGCTGCATTACCACGACCCAATATATTTTAAAAGGAAATGGGAATTTTATATTGTATTTATCAATTAATTTTTACTTTTCTGAAACCACATGGGATGTTCAGTCATATATGTGTTGCATGTATATGGTACAAAGTACTGTACCATGGAGCTGGTCTTAATAATAGAAAAGATGCTGCTTAGGATCCCAGAACAGATGAGCAGCTCCCTCTGCTGGCGCAGATGTAGGTGGATATGATGCAGAACCACTGGCAGCAGAATACTACGAGACTCTGAGGGAAGATTGAGAGAGGATAAGAAAGGAGTGAGGATGAAACTGAAGTTTGCACATTAGGCTTACATGTATGATTGTTTCAGTATCTTCAGGAAAAGAAAACACTTGGCATAAGCCTTCACATTTGTCTCACCAGGGAAGAAGAAGAGGCGGCTCTCTACTGTACGAGCAATGGACTGCAGTTTGACTACATCCATAGATTGGCCAATGTCCACTGTGCTTGGCATGCTTCCTAGAGTGCCCCTGACATATTCGGCTACCTCTTGAACAGTGAACATCTGTAGCAGCTCATCAAAAATATCAGGGAAACTGTTCAAGAGTGCTGCCTGGGGGTAGAAACAAAGGACACAGAGAGGGAATTTTTAGTGTACATACGGAATAACATGTTTAAAAGAAACTACATTTACATGTATTTAAAAAATACCACTTATAACAAATATTGCTCTTTTCTGGGTGACACACAAAACAAAGTAATTGCACCAAGAATTTATCTCTTTATACAACCATAATATAACCAAGCAAATATCCAAATCTAAAGCAGTGACTGCATAGCAGTTACTTAGAATACATCATCCTTTTTGAGCAGGCTGGGGGACCCACAGCTTATGCTGCATTGAGGAACCAACACAGGGGGGCGCTGTGACTTACGGATATAGACGACAGCCCCAGGGCATGACCACAGAAATGCATGCAGGTGATCACACCCCTAAACTGTCCAAGAGAAAGCCAAGGATGGGGCAGCAGTAGGTGGCGAAGGATTGAAGTATCAGTCAACAGAATGCACAGAATGAAAAAGTGATATAAGTAACAAGAATGAAATGAGAAAAACAAGTTAAGAAAACAAAAAGTATTAATCAATGAATCATGAATGCAAACTAAGAGGATGAATAAAAAAGACAAAATATTAAAATATTTATAACCAAAAATAAAATAAGACATGCTGTGTGTCGACAGCAAAAATGTTTGTCATGAGGTGTGAACTGTCTGACCTGCGTGAACACCAGGTTCTCTGAGCTGCGGCTGTCCAGACTCAGGACGAAGCGGATCGACTGGAAGAGCTCTTGGATGCTCGCTCTGAACTGCTCCTCCTCCATCCCGCAGGTGGCTCTCGAGTACAGGATACGAGACTGGACGATAAACTTGAACAGGTACTCTAGAGCCTAAGGGGTTTGTTGGCAGGATTCAGACGGAGACATACAGTCAGCTAAGGTACACGTCAGTTGCCTAACAATGAATAAGCACTGAGCACTGACTGGGTTTGTGGTTGATCATCCAGAGAAAATCAATTCATAAAAGAAATGTTTCCAATTTTCAGGTCTGACAGAATATCTCTTCACATGATCTCATTGGAAAAAAAAATTCAAAGACCATGTGGAAATCACTCTGCACGTGTCAATATCTGCAAAGATTTTTGTTAACTTCCTTTCTCTAAGGGTGCCCTGGTAGCTCCCCTGTTAGAGCGTGCCCCCTATGTACTAAGGCAGTGGCCCGGGTTTGATTCCAACCTGCAGCCATTTGTTGCATGTCTTCTCCCCTCTCTCCCCCCATTTCCTGTCTCTGTCCATTAAAGGCAAAAAAAAAAAAACTTCCTGTCTCTTAGCGGGGATCCACTTACTGAGGCCTTATATGGTGTCTCATTACTTCTTATCAGCCTTTCTGTTTGACCACTTCCCCATGTCTTACTTATTAATCCCAGTAGAAGGAGCTAGGATAGACCAGTAAGGAAGTGTGTGTGATACTTTACCCTCATGGCTTCCTGGATGTGGTCTTGTCGGACGACCTCAGCCGAGCGGTCCATGTACCACTTCAAACATCGAATCAGTTCTCTACAGGTTTGAAATTATGAGAGTCAGTACCAAGTGTAACTTTTTACGACTGTTCTATTAAATTAAGTAAATGTTTTTGTACTTGTATGCCAAAGCTCCAGCAAAGTGATTTTGGATGTAGGCGTCCATGACAGGTCTGAAGTGGTAGAAACGGCTGTCCCTGAGCAGGTTAATGATGAACACCTAAACACACAAATATATATATATATATATATATACTGTATATAAATAAAGATGTTATACTTATTTCCTGAGTTTACAGGCTAAATAAATCATATAGTAAAATATAGTTGTGCTCCTTTAATTTTCCTACCAGTGACTGGAAAACCAGCGGTCCGTATTTATCAGTGTTGTCATCTAAAAGACAGAAGAGCGTATCCAGGACATCTCGCAAGAACTGTGAGGAGAAAAAGGAACAACACTCAGCACAACTATCACATTAAAGACCTTACTGTAACTAAAATAGAAACAAATGGTAACCCCTTCATCCAAAAACAAAGTGAGTATTAAATATTATTTTTACAGTAACAAATGTTTCACTTCAATTATTTGTGAATACTTAAAAAAAGTCAGCATGCATTGTTAATATAAAATTATGTAAACAATAAAGCCGTAAAAGTTGGATCTAATTAATCAATATATAAGAATAATATCACCTATAATCAATAAAGTCAAAGTTTTTACACAATTTTTATTTGAAACTGAACATTTTCATTGCTGTTGAAGCTTAGATATTTTGTGTCAAGGAAGCCCACTACACCATACAACTACACAGAAGCTAACTATCATCCATTAATAGATCATCAATAGATAAATAAAATGATGACAGTGACCTTGACAATCTCCTCTCCACTAATCTGGCGTAATCGACCGAGGATGTCCAACACCCGTTCTGGATGGGCCTTCCAGTTTAGAAGAGCCAGAAGGTCCACTGAAAACAGGATACAATCAAATTGAGCTGAATTGAACCAGAAGTGAAAATATATAAAGAAGAAGCACGTAAGGCATTAGATTACCATTTTGTGTGAGTTTGGTGGAGCAGAGTATCGTGGAGACCCAGAAGGTTTCTTTGGGGCTTCTCTGGAAGGGCAGGTTGGCCGGCAGGTTGGGGCAGCTGTTGAAGTCCTCTTTACAGCAGGGCAAACTCAGGTACAGGCCCTGGTTACTGAAGGTGGCATTTTCATCACACTAGAGGAAGAATATTATATATAGAAAGAGGATTTATTAAGATTTGGAGACATCTGAAAGGCTCTTCTATCTGGCAGCATGCAAAAATGTTATTTGGTGATTCTTTCATTCAGCTCAATTGTATTTGTATAGCGCCAATTCACAACAGAAGTTATCTCAAGACACTTTTTATCTAGAGCATGGTAACAAGCAAGTTACAGGGATATACTACAGTATATGGCTAAAAGAATGGGGTCACAGGAGGTTTCTAAGATTGATATATTGATGCTAGTTAAATAATCAGGCTTCAAATGCAATACATTATCATTGCCATCTTATCTAGAAGTGCTAAGTCAAAGGCAACTGGACTTGCAGACTGAAAGTCTTCACAGGCATATTATTTACATCATTTTGAAGCTCCGTCGTAAATTATGTCAGACTTAAAATATTTTTTTATGGGGCAACTCTCTAAATGCTGTCCTCATTCTTAAATTTTAGGGTCTAAAAATGGGGTTCACAGGCCAGAAAAGGCTGACAATAATGTGATAAAGTCTATGGACAAAAAAAATTTAATGGTACAGTTGGCTCAGTCATTCAGGGCTGCACAATTATCCCAGAGTAGCTACTGTTCATTTTTGGTTAAGATAAGCAGACAAAATGGATGGTGTTATTTATTATGTGTTGTCAGAGCAGACCATGACCCATAGTTCGCTGCTGAGAAAATACAATAAAAATATACAGAGAGCTACCACCACCCAACTACTAGCACAGGACGCCCCACCAACACAGAAACATCCACCACAGTTGGCCCACTTTAACGCACTCAACTTTTAAATTAAAAGCTAAAGACACAAAGGTCAAAGTTAAACACAGTGTCTTTCGCTTCACTTTCATTTTATATAACAATAATTAATACATTATGCACTGGTTCTTACTGTTGATACAGAAGACCATACATCTAAAATGTGTGTTAAACTTGCACATACCTTGTACACATACAGCTCATGGCTTTCATCTGACAGCGTGGTCCCATCTTCTCTCATCAGAGGAGTGAAGGCAAAACCAAAGAGTTTTTTCTCTCCTTTGTCTTTAGCTAAAGGAAGCACATCACAATATCATGCATCATCATACTGTATCTACACAACAGAAACCATACTTGTATAACTCATGATCCACTCCGTCCTAATAAATTCATGTGCTGAGGGATGACTGCCACTGGGCTGCATTATTGACTCACTGGAGCAGTGTCTGAACTCAAAGCGTAGGTGCGACCCCCTGAAACGATCTATGGGAATTGGCAGCTTGACCATCTCACTCCAGCGAGGGCCGTTGTTGTGGTACAGGACAAAAGAGCGATATTCACTGGTGTTGGGCTCCCCGCTGCCCAAACTAATGCAATCCTGAGAAGAAAAGAAGCATGGTAGATGAGTTTTAATGACATATACAGTTCAAATCATGTATAAACTTAGTGTGTGGATGTATGGGAGGAAGGTTACACTCATCATGACTTGACAATATATTAATGACATGGTACATAATAACTCATGTACATATGTGTCATACTTTGAGTGTGTCCCCGTCGGCATAGAGTACATAGAGCGTGACTTCGATGTTCTTCTGGACGCTCTTGCCACCCCTCTCAAACTCCCCCCGCTCCAGGGTCAGATATAGGTCATTGCGTGTGTCACCTAGGACAATTACACAAGAGAAACCTTAATTAAAGGGGAAATCCACAGATTTTACGTATGAAAGTCTGTTTGGAAGTCTTGGGGAGTACTACTGCATAAGAAAGGTGTATAAATCTTTTTGCGGCTCCTGCCAACTGATCAGTTGGGGACAACAAGTTTGAAAAGGAAAAAAACCTTGGGGTTTGGAGTAATACGTCCAGCATTATAAGAACTGGAATACTGGATACTGGAATCGCACGTTCACATAACTGGAGAAAATGTTGCTTTGCAATACCAGAATTGACCACTGGGACAAATTGGCAGCAAGCCCCCAGGTGAGTTGGGCCCCGTATCAAGGTCTCTTAATACATCCATGGTGTGGAAAAATAAGTAAGGGAACCACCTCCTCATCATCTCAGCTTGAAGCCAGCAATTTGAGGCCAAAGAATGGGTAAAATAAGGCAATATCTGGTTCTGCTGCATTCATTTAGATTTTTCTGTTTGTTTTCCTATAACAATGTTATAGGATTTCAGTGCTAAATTGGCAGAGCTCCCATTTGAGCTTGACACACTGGCTAGGACATCATGAGCAAAATCATTACAGCACCCTAGAGCACAGTCTCAGCCTCTCTAGCTGGAGGTTCAATGTTACCCACAACAACAGGACAAAGACATGTCACAAATTCCCAGACTGATAACAAACATGTCTCCTGCCTAGGTGATGTTAATAAGTTATAATGCTACACGTCAGCCCCTGCTTCCACAGACACACTCCGAGTGGTCAACATAAATTAAAATGCTGTGCAGACTAAGATGTGCACCACACGTCATTGTTCTTGTCAATGAGAAATGACCCCGCTGAGTTGTAATACACTGTAGCTCATGACTGCCTCAGCACCTTTTGTGAGGTCAGTGTTTAATGGAATAAATATCAGTGGCAACAGTGCAGGGAGATATTGCAGTTATTTATAAAATCAGATTATAGTTATTTATATCCAAGTCATTTCCTTGGGGACAGATGAGTCACAAGGGTTGATATTGGAAGGTATTTCATGCTAGCTGGAGAGGAGAGGAGAGGATCATACATTCTTAGTAGACACAAAGCAGAGCAATGTTATCTGATGAAATATACGGAAATAAACACACACCTCTCGCTTTCCCTTTCTCTTTAAGTTATCTTTGAAGACCTCTTCTCTTCATAATTTGCTCAGCACCTGACCTAAATGCCAATCTCACACAAATAGGCAGTGACTCTCCAAAATACCAAGGAAGTGGAAGAAGTACTGAGATAAGTAAGAGTAAAAATACAACAATTAAGGAATACTCAATTACAAGTAAAAAGTACTACCAGCTAAAATTGCTCTTGTGACTGATATATTGTTATTACAGGATCAGATTCTTAATACCGATGCATCAATGTGGAAGTGGCATTTGTACTTTATATAAAGTACAAATGCCACTTCCACATTGATGCATCGTAGTTCGAGCCCCCTCAAAGGGTCACAAAAAACATCTAGGGGGTAATGAGATGATTAATGGCGTAGGAAAGAAGAACAAGACAGTTCTTCTACACCAGTGATTACTTTTAAATATAGATAATTTACCTCTTGTTTTGAGGGGGGGTGGCTTATATTGTGCACTATTTGTCACTAGTATTGTACAAATTCTGCACAATTATTGTATTTTATAAGCCTTTTCAATGTTTTTAATGTAAAATCCTAATCTGAGTAACTATCACTGATAAATGTGTGTAGGGTGTAGTACTTTTTACCACTGCAAACATTTACTCTTCACCACAGCCCACTCTGCTCTCTCCTGCATCTTTCTAATGCTTTAACCCCCATCCTCGCTTTTGCTACATCCTTGTTGTCCAATCCCTCACCTCCTCCATCTGCATCCTCTGTACCCTGATCCGTGACCTTCTTCTCTTTTCATTCCTCCAAGCCATCTGGCCTCTGGTGTCCACCTCCTCCCTGAACCTCTGTCCCCATTACTGCCTACTGCTCTTTGCCTCCTTACCTGGCAGAATGACATCTGGGAAACCCAGTTTGCGTGTGAGTGCCAGGGCTCTGTTGAACACAGCCTGGTTCTCCCGCCTGATCTGCTCCAGCTCACCCCGCAGCAGCTGCAGGGAAATGATGAGGCCTGGGGGCAGGGGAGGGGTTGGGCATATGTGTGTGTGTAAATGGGGGGGAAAGGGCAAATGAAGAGGTGTGGGATTGTGGGAGGAAAGTGGAATTGAAGGGAAAGAAAGCGAAGGGACAAAGAAGAAGGGAGATGAGAGAAGGGAGGGACAGAGAGGGTATTTAAAGGACATTAGTCAGAATGTGGGGGAGGAGAAGACAGACAGAAGAGTGGATGGAGAGACGTGATCAGAGCCAGGGAGAACAGAGGGAGGTTGGAGAAATGGTGTTGTGGAATTACGCAAAGAACCACAAAAAATATGGGTACTGCACAAATCTAGTGACAGATTTTTGTGGGGAATGAGTCATATATCAAACTGTGAGATGCTCACAAAAAGAGAAATAGTGAATGAGGAGAGTTCACGCTTACGATGAAGCCATTTTAGAAACTTCCACACAGTAAGACTGTTTAATACCATGTGGGAGATACGCTGTACAATCTTCTGTAATGGTAAATGTCAGGGTATACTAGTGTACTTTGCTTAACTTCAATTTTAAAACCATTCATAGATTAAATAACTTTGTCTGTTTTGAAGGACATGTTGGGGAAAAATGTATTCGCTTTTAGAGCAGAAACTACTAGTTGAATAATCTGTTAGTCTGTCAACAATCAATTAATAGTCATTTCACAGTGATTTTTAAGCAAAGATAAGATAATAAAATACACTGTTTCCAGCCTCTCAATGAATAGCTGGCTAATTTTCAAAGTCTTTTATGATGTAAAACTGAATATCTTTGGGTTTTGACAGTCTGTCAGTGAACTAGGGCTATGGCAACTATTTTCTGACATTATAAATACTCGGCAGCTTTATTTGCTTTCTTGCCGAGAGTTAGATGAGAATATTGATGCCACTCTTTTATTTGTCCTTTAAATGTGAAGCTACAGCCAGAAGTCAGTTAGCTTAGCTTACAATTTCTCTCTCTTGTCCAGAAGCAGAGGTCACAGCTCCTGGCCAAGAAATAGTTTAATATAACCCCCCATAAAACCACAGTGTCTTTTTCCACTGTTTTTGTTGGGAAATAGGAGACAACATCTCGTCTCTCTCCAAATCTGGGCAAAATACAACCAAAACTGTCTGTATGTTAGATACTAAAACATAATTTCATATATTAACATATTAAATCTTGAGCCAATATATATCTCTCAGCAGTCATGACCTGTTGGCAATTGTCCTTAAGCAAGACCAGGATCTCCTACCTGCTTACTCACTGTGAGCTGCTTTGGATAAAAACATTAGCAACAAATGTTGACTGCCTTTGACTTTTTTCTCTTTAAATTCTAACCAAAAAGAAAACAAGGTGTGAATCTAACCCCGGGGAGACCAAACAGGTAACAGATCTGTAGAGACAACATATTTACCATAGTTGGTGCTGGGAGCTGAGTACTTGGTGTTGGACTTGCGGATGATGTTCTCGTGTATCTGGTACCACTCGTTCTCATTGTTACATCTGGAGAGAAACACAGTTGGTTAGGGCTGTTAACATCGCACCCATTAGTGGGTCCAGATGGAGGGATCAGGACTGTGCGCATGGGGACTACATGAACAGCATGTGTCCCAGAGACGATTTCCTCCTGGAGAAAAGGTAGCAGCAGGGGGAGGTGCTATCAAGCAGCACATTAGCCCAAATGCACAGCTCACTAAGCAAACCTGACAGCCAGCTCTCTACCAGCCTTTTTCATTACTGTGGGCCCGTAGGCCCCTGGGATGGCATGGGGAAATGCACAGACTGGAGCATTATAGGAGCCGACAGTTTGGAGGCAGCTCAGCACTGAATCACTGCTTGCTTTTTAAAGGGAAGAACTCTTTGCCTCAGCAGAGAAATCCAATAAAAAGACAGATTTCTATTCCAGAAATCTTTATTTCACACTGAGATGTATAGTTATCCTGAAATTACTACACAAGAAAAATATCATACAACAGGACGGCAAAGTGTATGAATGACCTCTGACCCGGAGCGGACGCTGTGGGAGACATTCTAGCTGTTGACTTGACAAGAAAAAATGCTGAGCTTGGTGTTATTTTTCTTTGTCCTCTAACTTTGCTCAATTATATAAGTGTCATCTCTCTCGGTCTCTTCCCTTCTCCTTCTCTGTGTCTCCTCTTCTCCTCCTTTGCTGGCTTGGCCGATGTTCAGGAGTGGCTCTCTGTGGCAAAGCCTAACAGAAGCAGCCAGATTCACAACACGCCAAGTGCCCTATCGCAGGCCTGGGGTGAGCAGCTATTGATTTTCCAGAGGACACTTCATTATCATTCTGGTCAAAACACACCAGGCATCAACACTGAAGCACTAGGTTGTCATGCAAGACATTTGTAGAACATTTACACATTCCCACCTGATTGCATAGACTCTATTACTAAAAGTACAGAAGCCTAGTTGCAATTACACTGAAAATGAAGACCATTTTTATGATAATATTCTGTTTCACACTTTAAAATGCCAGAGGAATTATCTTTTGTGCTACTGAATTTATAATCAAGAAGAGGAAAAAAACGCTTCACATGTACACTCACGTATAAACTTTGAGCACAAAGTCCTTCTCCTCTTTGAGGTCTGTGATGGTATGGAAAACATCACTCATGGCAAGAACAGCGCAGCCATAAGGTCGTCTGTACTGCACATGAGGTGGGCCTTTCTTTGAGTCGTTCAGCAGCATACGACCTGGAAACAAAAAAAGAGAGGGACACGCTAAGAAGAAACACAGATAAATCAAAGATTTCTGTTATTAAACATGAAAGCTATACTTTATTTACCAGTTCTTATGACATGTGCAACAATGTAAAGGTCTCTCTTCAAGTCTTTACTGCTCAGGTCCTGAAGAGAAATGGGATGAAATATGTTAGCGGAATCCTATGAGAGTTAAATTACGCAATATTTATGTCTAAAAGGGAAAATATGTTACCGTGAAGAGAGCACACAGGCGATCAACCTTCTCCGGATTCTTTGGTCCTCCATTTTTGTTCAGTTTCACCATGAACTTCTCACTGCAAAAGAAGCCAGTTCACAGTTTCAGAGTGTTTGTCAACCACAGAATGCCTCAGTCAATCTGTTAGACAGAGATAGTGTGTAGACGTGTAAGAGAGAGAGAGAGTGTGTGTGTGTGTGTGTGTGTGTGTGTGTCTGCCCTTGCATGCATACAGTATTCATCGTAGGATTATTAGGGGCTGTAATGTGTGCACCTCTGCGTACCTGATCTGTTTGGCCTCGCGAGTGTCGTACAGAAAAAAGAAGACGTCTGCATCCTCGCTGATGCTGTTGTAAGTAAAGCTCTTCAGATTGATGAAGAGGTGGTGCGACACGGGGACACGGCAACCGTCACCATGGCGCTGTCTCGTGCTGTCACCCTGGGAACGAAGGAGAAAATGACCGCTAACAAGACAGGTCCTTACTACAAGCCAGGCCAAGTACCTGCCACTCTGTATATGGACATGCGCATTTAACAAATCAATAAAGGGTGCTGTAAGAGGTGACTAATTCATTAATATATGCATATACAGTAGACTCATAGACATACAGGTGGCCATCTAAATAAAGAAATCATGAATGAATGATGGGAAACTGCAGCTCTGGTGGGTGTGTATTTGTTATTAGGGGCTGCAGGGAGGGTGCATTCCTTGATGTATGAACAGTAATTATGTCTTAGTGCATTTTTGTCTCAGTTGCAAAGGAGTGTGCCAGGGTTCTTACTAAGGAGAAAAGTTAGATATTTTTGGGAAATACGTTTATACACTTTCTTGCTTTGAGTTAGGTGAGAAGATTTGTCTGTTAAATATGAAGCTAACCCCAGAAGCTGGTTAGCTTAGCTTATCAGAAAGACTGAAAACAGGACAAAGCAGCTTGCTTTGCAAAAATAAGCTTTCCAAAGTTAACAAAATCCATGTGCCTGCACCTCCAAAACTCACTAATTAACTCTTTATGTTGTTGATTTAATGTGTACAAATTGCATGTTGTGGTTTTACAGGGGGCTAATTTGTAAGCTTCAGAGGTACTTGTAGGCATTCCTTCAAACAGAACCAGGCTAGCTGTTCCCCCTGTTCCCTCTTTGTGCTAAGCTAAGCTTGCTGGCTGCCAGTGATAGCTTCATATTTAATGGACAGATATGAGAGCAGTGATGTCAATTTTCTCATCTAACTAAAGCTTTTTTCTCAAAATGTCCAACTATTCCTTTAAGGCCTTTTTTGGTAAAAAGTTGAGCCTTTATGGGAGATCTACTAGGGTCTAGGTGAAAAAATAAGCCAGAAATTAAATATTAAAAATACTGCATCTCCTAATGGAGTCAGAATGTAATAAGTCTTCAAACTGGTGTTTCCACACATATGAAATTCAGTGGACACAACTATCTAAAGTGCCCTACAGTACCATTTGTGAATACAGCTTGGGACATATGTGGGCCCAGTGGGAGTCGACCCACTCTGGCAGTGTTGGTGTGAAGTTCTTATCGAGCATGACGGTGACACCTTGTAATTTAAATTTTATATAAAGGGCTTTTAACCCTACAAGGGCTTATTCTCAGTGCAACTAGAGACATTCCTGGATCACCTGAATTACAGGCAACCAATAGGGAAGAGTCTAAGGGTGAAAGCCCCAGTGTCACAGCCAGAGCGCCCTCATGTTGTTGTGTTAGGAAAAGAAACATAAAATGAGAGGTTCTGGTGGTTTTGTAAACGAACAGCTTTGAAAGGACTATACCTGGTTTGTGCTTTGCTGACCACAGTGTCTGCTGGATACATGCTAAAAAAGAGCGAAGTTCAAAGGAAAAATGTCAGATCAGTCAGTCCATTCTTTACTCTTCCCACACAGCATTGAACTTATTTACCTTATAGCAGCTTCAGACACACACTACCTGAGCAATGCCTCAGTCGATGCTTCAAATCTGACAAAAATCTCACCTACGTACGTTACAGAGTGGCTATACTACTGCTCCTGTAGCGCTATTAGAAGCCCACATGAGGCAAAACGTGAGTGTGTGGGAGAGAAGAGGACAAAGCCAGCATCGCCCACACACACCTCTCTGCTCAGCAGCCTAAAAGAACTCCTCTACTCCCCTACCTGAAGAGGTGCCAAGGCCTTGTGCCCTGCCAAAAACAAGCTCACTTTCATCGACAGAGTCAGGAGGATTTTTGGCAAGGAAGAGCTACGCTGTTGTTTCTGGACAGAGCATTTAGTGCACAAACATTCTGCGTGCAAAGCTGAGAAACATGGCAATGGGATAATGGGAGGCTGCGGGGCAGTTGGAGAGGGTTTTGATCAGCATATGGAGCTTCAACTACTGACCAGAAAGGATCTCCCTCCTAGATAACAGTCTCCAGCGCTAAATTTCATAACATCTGTGCTGTAATCGCATATTTCTAAAATTGGATCTGCTTCCAAGTCTCCTCTCTCTCCCTGTGTTTAGGTTTGAAAGTCCCATATCACTAAAATACATTTGAGGCATTATTTATTTATGGAAATATGTCTCCAGTCTAGTCCCGTTGGTGGTTTAAAGCCACCAAGGCTGAAACATGTAATTTATTTTAAAGCATACAAATGAAATATTCATTTGGATGTATTCTCCCATAGCCTCACCTGGGCCTGTCTCTCTGCATTATGTCTGCGTTGCTTGCTAGCAATCATGCTTGTGAGAGTCACGTGCATGCAAAGAAACGGACACACTCAATATGGCGGTAAGATAAGCATAAAGAACAGGTCACATGAGGCAGCTCCAACAGCTGAATCGTGCTCTCTCTTGTGAGTCACCTTCTTATGGATGATTTGATAATCGGTATATTCACACATCCCTACACATCCAACAACACATTCTTATATGCAAATCCAAGCTGTGCAATGGGGAAAAAAAGGCACATGGCGAGTAAAAAAAGCTCATAGTGTGTAAAGACAGCATTATTTAAGTCACTGAAACAGATACATACAAAGATAAATTAAATGCTATCAACATATACTTTAAATGCAATGCATTTATTGTATTTAATAAATCATAGAGTGCATATGTACAGCATGCACTGGTTCAAGAATAATCCCACTCTACATACCAGTTTGTATAGCTCTGATATGCTGATCTGATCTGGATCCACCATTTCAAACTCTTTTCTGGGAACAAGGTCTAAGCCAAGGTGCCTGGTGAAAGAGGGATTAGAGATGTATGACAAAGAAGACAAAAGACAGCAGTGAATAACTGAATCGGAGCTTTTTAAAATATAATCTTGGTGTTCTTTTTCACTTGGAGTAAATAAGAATTGTCCAAACATGTCTTATTCAACTGCTGTACTTACCTATAATAACAGTATTTCTGTTGCATACTACTTTATCATTTATACAGCAACATTTCAGAGGAAGATAATGGGTTTTTTATTCCACTAACTATATTTATCTGACATCCGTTAGATAAGACATCTGTTACTAGTTTGCATATTAAAGCAATAGTTAGACATTTTGTGAAACATCCTTATCCAATTTCTGGTAAATAATTAGACGAGAAGACTGATACCGGTCTCATGTCTGTATGACAAATATGAAGCTACAGATGGTTAGCTTAGCTTAGCAAAAAAAAGTGTAAACAGCTAGCCTTCTGTTTGGAGGTAACAAAATCTACACCTATAAAGCTCACTAGTTCACACATTGTATCTTGTTTGTTAAATCTGCACAAAAACACAAAGTGTAAAAACAACAGTTTGCTGTTTTATTGGGGGCGGCTATGTGCCAGACTATCTCTTGGCTAAGCACAGTAGTTTCCTGGAGTCTACGCTGGTTGCCTGGTAACTGCTCAGGGCTAAGAAATAGTGGAAGTTAATGGTGGCGTATTTTCCCAAAATGTCGAACTTTTGCTTTAAGATTTTACAAACAAAACACAGGATTGCTTACAAATAACATGACTTGTTATAGGTTTAATAACCATCTAACGATATTTAAAGTTGCTAAATGTAGCTCCACCTCAACCAGCTACAACATTAAAATGCTGCTTATGCGTTAATGATCATTTCAATAATCAATGATGATCTAATATACTTACTTTTCACAGTTGTTATTAAGAGTGTTAATTAACTCCAGTGCATTATGTTATTCCAACATCTCTGTAAGACATTTTTGGCATCTTTGGAAACATTGGGATCTTGTAGTAACTCAACCAGTACGTGAGTTTGTATTAAAGATAAACCCACCAAAGAGCCTATGTTATTAAAGAGGAACAGTACAGTACAGTACTAAAGTTTACTGCCATACACCTCTGGTTCATACTGTAACCCTTCACTTAAAAACAACTGGGCAGCCTCCAATCGTGGAGTACTATCAGTGCTGCTGGGATCTTTTGACCATTAAATTAAATCACTACAGTTCTCAGGTCAGTGTGCACTTCAGAGCACTGACCTCAACACGCATGGGGAACAAAGTACAGTGTATTTCAGGCTCCACTTCTGAGTGTATTTTACATTAACACATACTGTTTAGGCATGACATACACTAACGTTCAATGTAAATCCAGTGATGTAGTTCAAAGTGAATATCTGTGTACTTTCATGTGCTATTGTGCAGTGAATCTTATATTAAACTGACAGATGGCCGCTCCACATAAAGCTCTTCCTTAGCCGAGCTGGAGCCCTCACATCTTTATCTGTGTTATGGATGCCTGTCACAGCTCAGTTGGATGGAGTTTGAAACTGGCAACAGTAAGACTATGGCTTTACAGTTCCTCCAGGGGGCTGTGCATTGACTTTAAGCCGCTTGAGATTCACTCATCTGCTAAATGACCATGAAATTACATCATAGAGGAAGCTATTACGCACCCACTCATCCAGTGTTGTAGAACTTTCCAGTGCCAAAGAAATATGGCATTCTTTGGTAGCCAACACTTAAAAACAAAGGTTTGTTGTCAAGCATGCCCACTCTCTGGATACAGTGCACTCAGTAGAAGAGTAACTCACTCATTGCCCCAGTCGAGTCGTACGGTGATGTGCCGCTTGATCTCACGAGTCTGGTCCTGGGCGAGGTGACCCTGGATCAGCTGCCGACGCAGGTCGATGAGCTCATTCATCACATGACGCAACTTATGGAAAAGATCCACCTTGTGTTTCTATTGAAGCAGCCAAGAGAGACTTAGTTAGGATATGTGATCTTCTACAAGATCTTCAAAGACACAAACAACATGTAGGTGGTTCTCTGATATCAGAATCTGGTGTTTTATCTTACATTAAGTTAAAGCAGTGGTTTTTAAACTGGGGTCAAGGGACCAACGGGGGTCCTAGTCCGAGTTAAACTATGATCAAAACAAAAATCACCAGCTAACAACACTCTAACCTCTTATGTGTTGCTACTGAGATTTAAAGCCCATTAGTTTTATTAATAAAACACAAAAGTCTGCTATGCCCTCCTCACACTAATGAATTTCATCACCATTTCTCATAGATCAAGAACAACACTTAAATTGGGCGTTTTCTGCTCTCCCTAATGGTATGACAAGTCCACATTACCACCCAGGTTTATTTACATAAACGCAAAGATTAAGCAGCGCCACAATGCACATGTAAATTTAATGAGGATAAACACTGCATGTTCTCAAAAGCTGGAAGCTGCTGAAAAACAAAGATTTTTGTCAGGGTTGATGAGCCCTTTCACACATCTATTCTGTGGGGCTAATTACATACATTATAAGAGATACACAGTTATACATAGGCCATTGCTCCCTGAAGTAATACCATGAATTGTAATTGGCAACAATAAGGTGAAATGTATCAACATCTAGCCAATGCTACATCCTATTATTATGGATGCAACTGTGGCAACATGGCCCATATCACACAGGGGGTGAGCACCAAAACGAGCACTGTTAAATCAGCGCTTCACATTAGTTGAGCTTCAGAGGAAGTTACATCACCACACCAATGCCTCTGGCTCCTTAGTCGCTCAGAGCATGAGCAGTCCTCAGTGAGAGGTTATGTAAAACTCGCTGCCAGCTCTGCAACGTATCCACTCAGCTCCAAACTCAAAACCCTACCAACCACTTCTGCCTGCCCCCTCGACATGTAGCAGGATTAAGGACGCTTTACGTTTCCAGTAATCACTTTTGCCCGGCAAGTAAAGGCTGACTGAAGGTGGTGAGCAGTGCTGGATCTTAAGATGATGCAGAAACTACGAGAGGCAGGCCAAGATCAATAAATGGCTGAATGACACAGCATGTAATTGCATACGACAGGTCTGAAGGCCATTATCTATGTCCAACCAACATTTCTGTTCCTACATAGATAGTATATGAAAATGTAGGGTGACAGTCAGAACGACATGTTATGGGTCTATATCTAAAGGAGCTGTCACTGTATGTTTGGGCTACATCTCAGGCTATTCACTCCTCTTGCTGGCGGACCTAGTTATACCAGGTGTTGAATTAGAAGCAGGGAAGAAAAACATACTGGAAACGCTTATTCCATCAAACCCCCTTAGGAGGATGCAAATAAAACAAAATTTCTTTTTGCAAAAGCTGTTTTTCTCCCAACTCCCTTGGAAGTGTTAGATGTTATGTTAGATGCAATCTCACATTTATTGCTCAGTGTTTTGTTTTGATATGAGCGAGATGTACTGTAATATAGTGTTACTGACCACATAGAGCTGCTTCCACAAGACACCCCATTCCTGCAGTGTGGAGGTGGTCTCTGTGATAATAGGGTCCTCGAGGGGCACCACCGTCTCGCACAGCCTAGAGGAAAAAACATGTACATGAATGTGAGGGCACACAAGAACACACACACACACACACACACACACACACACACACACACAAATATCAGCGTTGAGCAGTGATGCGCTACTTTGTAATGCAGTTACTGTGTTGTACAAATGGTGGTAGATATTGTAATTCAGTCTTTAAAACGATTGAAAGAACAGTACTTGACCTTTTTAATGAAATAGTAGGGTAAACAGGTGTTACCAATGATACTAATTATGGTTCCATTCCATCCAGGTCAGGGTCAGTGCATGTTGGCTCACTGGAAAGGCTCTGCTTCACTAAATGGAACTGAACCTTAATTAGTGTCATTGGTAACACCTGTGTTTACCCTACTATTTCATGTCAAAATGGCCTCTATTGACCCTTGATAGATTTGTGCTGGTGTTATTCAGTCTTTAGAGAAGATGAGAGAAATGCACCAAGTACTTGATCAGTTTTGGATGCTGCATTTTTTTTTTCAGGTACAGGTCAACAGAGGAAGTCAAAATGTCTGACACAGGTCATCAGAAACTGTGACCTTTCTGTGCCTGGAAGTTTAACATCTAAATATTGTCAGGGACTTATTAGATGCACATAAAAGACTTAATAACGTTAATAGCAACAACCACTTGTACAAAGCAACATCCATACAACAGAGCCCAATGTGGATGCACTTTGCAGTGGTCACAGAATGTGACGTAACACCAGTAGTTGGCTTCATGCTAGCTTGGTGCAGGGGTTGAAGGTGTGGGGACACGGTTAGCCACCACCAAAAAAGGAAAATTGCACGTCCCAGTAAGTCCAAAGTTGTCTTATTGATACAGAATGTTGTGTCTTTTTCACTGGCTTGCTAACGTTATCCTCTGGTAACACTACATTCAGAAAAAAACCTGGTTTTGCTCACAGTTGGAGGCAGAGAGACAGGTCCTCATCCAGTCCCTGAGGGCTTAAGATAGCTGTTAAAGGTCATTAAATACTTCCAAATCATTGGCTGCCTAAACCACATCTTATTTTCTGTTTCTACATATGTTAAAGCACGAGCTTGTAGGATTTAGTGGCTTTGCAGATTACAACTCCCTCGCTCCCTAGCACAAAGGAGAAATTACAGTGGCCACATAACGCACAAAAAACGCAGATGGCAGTGTTTGGTTTGTCGGTTCTGGGCTCCTGTAGAAACATGGTGGTTCAACGCTATTACATAAGATGGCAGCCTCCAAAAAAGGTGACCCGCAGTGTCCGTAGATATAAACGCCTTCCTAGGTAACAAAAACATGAAGTTTTTTATTTTCAGGTGATTATACACTAATGATTGAACACTAATTGTTCCCTAATCCTGTACTCCTGCTCATCCAATGTATTTCTGTGTTTTGTGCCCTGATATTGAAGGTTTCCTTTTATTCATGTTTTATAGAATTATTGACTATTGGTACAATGTGTTTTTTCTGTATTATTTGTCTTTTTAGTTATTCACTGTACAGCACTTTAGTCAGTTTAAATGTGCTTTATGAATTAAATTTACTTACTTACTTACTTACTAATGAAAACATAGTTATGCATATTATATTCCATTTCTGCCAGCAGATCGTCCTAAATGTTACACACCAGATCTTTAAATACAGAAGATGTAACGTGGGTGTGGAGGCTTTGGAGTTGTTTAAAAGGCACCTTTGATTAAACTGGGCTGAGTAACAAAAGTAAAGTAACAAGTAATGTGACTTACTTTTGCTCTAAAGTAATGTCATGTTTTAATGAATAATAATAATAATGTATTGAGTCAATGATTACATTTTCATGTAACTTGCCCAACACTGACAAACATACATGTATGTCACTGCCTCAAACTAGCTGTTAAAGATGTAACAGCTATGACATGACAAACAGTAATATCATGAAAGATATTGAGATTTTCTCAGGCTGCAGTCAGGAGTGGTGGAGGAAGAGGGTGAAGCACTCCAGTAAAAAACACAACACACATCCTTCCTGTGTGACCATTCATTGAGAAACATTAAACCAAAGGATAGATCTGACATTTTGCATTTTGCTCGCTAAGCTGTGGCCTATGCTTTAAAGAATTATCTTTAATAGTGTATTATAGCTTTTGCAACAAGGGAAGCATCTTCATCCATTACACAGTTAGTCAGGGTGATTGTGGCTGAGATGCGTTGGGAGAACTACAGACATGCAGTAGGTCTGTCACCTCATTAACTCCATGAGACAGCGAAGCAGATTTCCCAAAGTGCAACTCCTGGAGCGAGGAAGAATAATAATGTAAATTTCCACGTCTGCACTTTTAATTGTTAGAGTGCTAACGAGAGTCCCCTCGCTATGTGGTAGCTCAACTGTAGGGTGATGATATAACAGCAAATTCCCAGTCCACAGTGAACCGCAGATCCCAGCCTACAGATTTAACATCCATGAGTTCGGGCTGATAAAGAGCTCTGCTGCCTGTTTTTGTCTTTGCCTTTATTCTGGCCTCTACAACCATGACCAGCTATTGTGATGGGAACTGAAGATGACCGCTGTGTGTACATGTGTGTGTAGAGAGTTTGCACATGCATGTCAGCAGCTGTCAGATGGTAATTGTCTTGAAAAATGGATCATCAGAAATCGTCATGCTCTGATCAGTTGATGAATCTGTATCACACTCCCTGTGTAATGAGTGATGGATAACCTCTGACCAGTAAAGAATTGTTTGTTTATCATCATTGCTCATATAATCCTCCAATATGTCTCAATAAAAAGTCTGGTAGCGATGGATGTGTAGAGAGAAACCACAGCTGATGTTGTATACAACAGGTCTTCAGTATTTTGAGCTGCAATCCCCTCCTACATAAAATGCTATGTGCTGCAATAAATTTAACTGGCTTTTTTTTCACTATATGTGCCTACTTCATAATAAACACGTTTAAAGTCAATGACGCAGATGATGTAAGATTTCCTATAATGTACAAGGTGTTCCTTCCCTCCAATCTTAGCGCAGCTGTTGTGTTTGACTGACACTGATTGTAGGGGTGGGCAATATAGATAAAATCTTCTGTCACGCTGTTTATACATTTATATTGTGATATTTAAGTATATCGTAATATATTAGGTGGTAAAAAGGGTAGTACAAAAGGAAGTCTTTGTAGGCTATAATTGAGAGCATAAAACTGTTTTTGGCAGAATGAAATCCCTGAGAAATGAATGTATTTCGCCACACTGATGTAAATCCTGTAACTCTAATTTAAAGGTCCAGTGTGTTACATTTAAGAGGATCTATTGGCAGAAATGGAATATAATATTTATAGGTGTGTTTTTATCAGTGTATAATCACCTGACAATAGGAATCATTATGTTTTTGTTTTCTTAAAATGGGCCATTTATGAGTCCACCATGTTGAGCCATATTCTAGAGTAGCCCAGATTGGACAAATCAAACACTGGATCTAAACAGGGCCTTCCGTGTGTTTTGTGAGTTTTGCGGCCACCATAGTTTCTCTTGCATGCTTGGAAGGGGAGGGTGAGGCAAGTTGGTTGCAATCTGTAACTTCACTGCTAGATGCAACTAAATCCTGCAAACATGCTTGGAGAATTTCAGCCTGTATGGACATTTCCATTACAGTGGATGTGGACACTGGAGATACAGAATATCTGGCTATGCATAGACAATTATTTGCCACCATTTGGTGGTTGGTGGATGTACTGGGTTGGGATTGGGTTAAATACTTGTTAAAAATATAAATAAAATGAAAAAGTTGGGTTCCTTATTGTGATGCTGCACAAGCTCAAATAAAAACACTTTATCATACAACTTACCCTCTGTTGGTCACTGTGGATTTCTTCAAGTGGACATAGCTGACTGGGAAAATACCCTGTGGACAGAGGAAGGAACATGTTGATGTTACAGAGTGTGACAGGATTAAGTTCTTAATTCTCCTGCAACACGAAACCAAAATGTACAGTAGTGTGTTATGCTTGTATTATTAAGAAGAATAACTGTGTAGAGTGCTACAAGTGTAAAAAAAGAGATTTTACAATTCTGCTTGCGACACGTTATATGTTAAAGGAAATGCAAGATCACACTTCCTTTATATGTATTTTGAAAATTTGTGATTTGCTATGTGCTAACATTTTCTGCCATGCAAAGAAAAAAAAGATGTGAAGCCCCTACTGTTTGCGCACAGCACAGAAACGAGAGGCAGAGCAACGTGCATAAGCCCTATTGTGGCTTGGTTTAACAGGGGAAGTGCATGAGAGACTGAGTGGTGCCAACTGCCACCCTTGCAGTTCATCTTTCTTATTCTAATCTGCCAGATGTGGAGAATTGGCCACAGTGAGCACAACTAATTCTTTCAGCACAGAGAGAGTATGGGGGCGAATGAATGTGGGCAGCGGAGTACATAACAAAATGGAGGGGTGTTAGTAAGAACTGTAAATAGCTGATGAGAGTAGAGAAGGACAGCATGTAGCCACTAACACCTACATTTACCAGGACTGGACAGCTTTTGTGCTTTCTTTAAAACATCCCAGCAGCATCACGTAACATTTCAGTTTAAAGCAGAGGGGACACACGAAAAAGCAAATATTACCTGCTGCTCAAATGTTTCTAATAAGATATCTGGAATTTGTGTTTCCGATGATACTGTTTGCGTTGTGGATACGCAAACTTTACATACATGTTTTCTAAGTTTGTATAATGACTCTCCAGCTCTGCTACAGGTTATCAAAGATGGAGTCCCTCATAAAGATCCTTTACTGAACAATCAACCATATGGGAAGCAGATGTGTCAGTCATATATCATAACCACTTACTGCAGTGCAGAGTATTGACCTCTGTCAGCAGTGATGGTGTTGTATTGTACTGCACCTATGGTCTCTCCTTACAGAGCATTGTGCAGAGGATTTATCATAATGATGCTGCATAAACAGACTGAGAACTGTTTCACTCTATCCTGTTTTTTCACGTTAACTTCCTTTCTGCTTCGATCAAAGATATAACGCCACAACAAGTGTGTGCTGCATCCATCCTGCAGAACTCCCTGCAGAAAACCAGTTCTTTGGTATTATTGATTATAACATTTCTTTTAAAATAGCTTGTTTTGGTAAAATGACTTTTAGATTACTAATTGCACCATCTGCTGGCTGAAAGGAAAAAAAGCTGTGGATTTTCCAAAGAATTCTGCACAAGAGAGGAATAATACAGCATGAACTCAGAGTGGTGGGTCCAGGATGTTCTGATAATCAGTGAAGTATACATAATACAATTTAAAAGACATTATAGGGCTGGCATGTGCCTCACACCAGTGTGCATTATACACATGTGATGCACTTACAATGCATCTCTTTTATTATATTTTATCTTTATCTTTTCCACATTATGTGCTGAAGACAGAACAAGTTGGTTAAAACGGTGTCGTTATCAAAGCACCTCTGGAAATACAGGTCAGGAGATTTCTATTTTTGTCAAATCAAAGCTCTATTCAATAAGTTAATCAGTCATTAAAGTCTTTGTTGTCTAGACAAAGTTATTTCTGGGGTGCACATCTCTCACATCACATTATCATTCACAAAAATGCACGGGTCTTTGATAAAACCTTCATGTCGAGACTACTTTGTATTAAAAGGCAACCAGTTTTACAGATGTTTTGGTGACTTTATTATTTGTTTGATTAATGATAAATGTAACATTTAGGAGGCTCTATTGGAAGAAATTGAATATAATATCCACATGTATGTTTTCATTACCGTATAATCACCTTAAAATAAGAATCTGTGTTTTCTCGTTACCTCAGAATGAACCATTTTTATCTACAGAAGGAACATGTCTGCCATGTTGAACCACCATGTTTCTACAGTAGCCCAGAATGGACAAACTAAACACTGGCTCTAGATAGGGCCTTTCATGTTTACCGCAAGTTTCACGGCCACCATAGTTTCTCCTACACGCTGCAATCTGTAACTTGTCCAACCATTTAATAGGTTAACAGTCGGAAAAAAAGCTCCACTTAATGTGCAAAAACACATTTATAAATTGGCTAGGGCTTTTATTTACAATCAGAATCGTTTTTTATCTTTTTGCCTTGTGATTCACATTCTAGTGATGAGTCTTATTCACTCTCAGTTAATTTAAATGGAGAATATTGTATGTGGCCTGCAGGAATCAACAAACCAGTCATTTGTGTATGCTGTTATAATTACCTTGATAGAAGGCTTCTTGGTGGAAAAGCCTCTGTACCAACCTGAAGGAAGAGCAAAGTGCACATCACAAAACCTTACTACCTCACAATGAAACACATTATTGTAGCCACACAGTATGTGCTATTACACCATATTGCTGTGGTACTTTTGAATAGTTAACAATGTCATTTTTACACAGACCTACCGTGTATAGTTTGCTAACTATTTGTCAAACGTGTGTCAGCTTAGACTAGCCTAGCCTAGCTAATCATTGCTGACAGCAGGTCCGTCTGTAGGAGAGTATCAGTAGGATTTAAACAAATGATTAAGATATTACTATTATACTGCCTTCTTAACAATGAAAAGCAAAAGCAAAATATGTCATTTTAACTGATGCTGTGGATACTTCATAGTAATACTTCATAATTATTGGCTATGAAATAACAAATGTAAACAGATCTGAGGCAGCAGTTATGTTAACCGGGGTTTGATTAGCTAGAAATAATGGGGACGTGAGTCCCCCCCAGACACTACACCCCTGACACCAAAAAGAAAGTCCATATAGTCAAATATTTTAATTATTTGGATTTTCATATTTTATTCATTGAGTTAACTTCAGTGATATTAGGTTTTAGTTGAATGGCACAGTTGTTTCAACATTCCTCTGGAAATGCTTATAAACTCAACTCAGTACACTCAAAACTAAAAAGTGTTTTTAGGACATTACCTTATATAATTATGTGTTATTAGCACAAGCATACAAGAATCATCCACCGTACTTATGGTCTTGTAAAATTAAGTGTTTATTTCTCAACATAAAGGCAGGCTTTCTGTTTCAAAGCCATCTCTGCGAGAAATAAAGTAACCAACATTATTATTTATTAATTTATTTATTTAGGTATATAAATACTGAGTCAACTGAGTTTTACAGTATAGTGTCTTCATTCTGTACCTAAAATCTTTCTGCAGTACCAAACTGTTCTTTACAAACACAACAATTGTGACTCTGATTTTTACCTTCACTCTTCTCCAGAATCTGTACAGTTTCCCCAATCTCCAGGACCAGGGCCTGACATATTGGTGACCGGAAGTTGCAGATCACTATGCAGAAAAAGAGAAAAAAAATGATGAGACAATAGTACTGAGAAGATATTTGACCTTGTAGTACTTTTAGCGCTGACTGTCAAGGGAAATTACATTGCGGATAAACATCTATGCTTGGTTTCATCTTTGTGACCTCTGATTAAGCAAGGTGCATCCCTCACACTCCACACAGCATGTGTTTTGGGCTTGTAGCAGGGCTTTTAATAAGATGTTTAATGCAAACATCTAAACACAGTGTCACACAGGAACAACTGCTTAGCAAACTGTAAACAAGCTCCCACCCTGAAGTGGGTAGTCATTTTAATAGGCAATTAATTCTTAAGCGGCCTGATTTTTGTGCAATGTTAAGTTAATTGAACTGTATCCCAAAATAGAGCCCACACAAACTGCTAAGTAGTGTGGCTAAACGCTGCTTCATCATAAGTCGGTATTAGCATAAATCTGCCATGCTGCCCACTTTTGTAGCATCATGCAGACTTTGACCATATAGAAAAACATCTTATCATCTGAAGCCTGTTTTTTTTTTATCTGTGCAGCACTGCCACATCAGCCACGTAACATACAAGCCTTAGTAAAGGCAAACTTGTTTAATAATGACAGGGCTCCACTGACGATTTTTAAAACCTACAAATGGTGGCCCTTCAAGGAGAGTTTGGTGTGAATCATTATGCTAATGAACTAGCCAGGGGACCCAGTGAGGGGGAGGAAGAGAAGAAGGGGCCTGGGCTCAGCTCAGTTGCCTGTTTGAGGGTAACAAGTGCTCAGTTCCTGTGCTCGGGTAACTATGGCAACAGATCATCTACAAACTGGAGGGCTTTCTTTCTTCACTGTAACTGCTGCGGGGATCTGGGCATTTTAAAATGGCAAGCTTATGGATGCTGCATGGCACTGGAGTTCAAGTCAAGCGTATTGGGCATATATATTAGAGGGAGAGAGATAGATTTAAAGAGCCTCCTTGTCACCTTTTCCAGTCTGCCTCAGGCACTTTTCCAGCCAGGGCTAAGTATTTCCTATTTGAGAGTCCTATTCTTTAATGGCCTCTATTTCATTTGAATTGCAAAACCTGCACTCACACCATTTGAAAACTCTTTAGCAGGGGCCATGTCAGAACAAGATGAGATTGTCATGTTCGAGAGAGAGATGGGCGCATCACACAGGCTCATATTTTCATAGTCCTCCCTCACAAAACCTCCAAGCTGTGTAAACACTCTTTCATTGTGCCTGAAAGCTGTACAGCATTAGCATATCCTCAAAGCACAACCAACAAAATTCATCTTTAGACTTCAACATGTTGAACGTAGGATGTTGGAAGGACTGACGGGACAGGCAGTAGAAAATGTTGGCAATAGCAAACATTTCTACTCAGCAACAGTATATCAGTCCAGACTGTCCCTCTATTTAGTTGCATTCATAGTCCACATGGCATATTATGACCACTATTGTATAACCAGTATTTCACTGATGGGAATTATGGGTCTTGAGCACAGGAGGAGACTCCTGCTGTCCTAAACTTTCCTGTCAACTTCCAACGGTCCATGTACGGCAAATATGCAGTATATGTCTCCTCACCCACAACATAACTCAATCATCTGCATTCATTTACTAATTGACTATCAAACACGTATGTGATTTAAATGTAGGGTTTGTGGTGCTTTTAAATGGTAGTCATGTACTTTTCCCACTCATTCACTGAGGGAAATTTTGCCTGCACAGAAAAAAAGGCCATATTTTAATCTTCCGGCTGGTCTTAGATATGTTGTTATTAAATATCCAATTTTTAAGAATGTTTGGGGTTTTGTGGGTTTAATCAAATCCTTGTTTCACAACATTTCAGTATGAAGTGCAAGTGAAAACTAAATATGAAGGCCAAAAAACACACTTTGGTCCAGACTCCATAGGGGGTAGCACTACAGTGTACAAGATTTGAAATCATCAAAGGTATGAAAGGCTGTAGCTCTTACACTAGAGATAATAAGTTCCCCAAAGTGGAAACTTTATAACAACATGTTGGGGACTGGATTCTTTTGAGCAATCTGGTCGTGACTTTCAGTTGCAGTTAAAGCAAAGTGAAAATATTGATGGCAGCAAAGAGATGATCATCAACATTAGCAAATGAATAAAGGCCATGCAAATAGATGAATCATTCTTCAAAAAAACTACAGAAACAGTGATTATCCAAAATAGATATTTAATTTATTTTTTACTTTTAACAACCTTCTGTGCATGTGTGTGCCTTGATGCACACATCAAAACACACACAAAGACTGATATTACTCATCACGCTTTCAATCATTTGGTCTGTGCACATTTTGACTCCACACACTTGTTATAAACATTTGCTTTAATGTAGTATGTACACTGAGAAACAGTAAATGTTTCAGTTTAATACCTGATGGGTTAATAAACAATGTGTTGGTATATTCCCTTGAATCCACCTTACTTATGATTTGTATTACTCCCCTTCTTTATTACACATAGTGGATTTATATTAGTTGCATATGTATTGCTTCTACACAGAGTAAGTGCAACATTTAAAGTGTCTTTTAATCCAACCACGTCAACCAAGCAGAACTACAACCTATAGCCAGGCAGGGTTCAGTATAAAGTAAAAAGTGTGGTTACTTTAAATGCCTTAGATCTAGTTACAGAGTAGACATTTACTATGTTTTGTTGACCAGCAAAGTTCAGAACCACTCTCTATTTCTAAGAAATCTACCAGAACTTTTTATTGCCTGAAAACAATCTCTTATGAATCCAGTTTTCTGTGTTGGCGTGAAGTGAGAACAGAAGCTGGAATTGATTTTCCATAACAGCACCTAATAACCCAAAAAAGAAATGCAGAGCTCTCTGCATTGTTGAAAGAGAGAGTAGCACCAAAAAAACTGTGTCTATGTTAAGAGGTTTGTATGACAGTAAACTGTGCTAGTTTGAATGTGTCAAATCACATTACCATGTCTTTGACATCTGCAATATTTCCTCCACTTACACCAAAACTACTGATAAAATGTGCAAATATGTCCACACAGAATGATCTCACTGTACTCAACAGGAAGCCAGGCTGAGGTACTTAAGACACAGTGTGTTTGACGGTGACCTTTGACCTACTTCCCTTGGCTATCCTTCACTTTTTATTTTTATGGTCAAGCTGGGCTAAAATTCGTTTTAAAGAAATATATTGTTCTACAATAGATGAAGTGAGGCGTCTAGTGTAAACACTATTACATGCTGCCATGTCTTGAGAAATGTTTTCCCTCTATATGTAATATAGAGAAGGTTAAAACACAGCCTGCATGGCCTGGTGACCTTGCTTTAGAGCCGGTGAGAGACACATACAGTACCTAACTGTACAACAGTCCAAAGGCACAGGGGAGAAATATTATGCAGAGAAAGCAGAGATGTTATCAAAAACCTCCCGGTACAACAATAAACACTATTATGGCTTATAAATTATCTGCTATTTTAACAACTGAGTGCTAATGGCATCACCGTACGAAGAACCAATTTATTTAAAAGGGACACTGTGCGCATCTAAAGTGCTTTCTCGGATTTCCTTTTAGTTCCAGTCTCAATCATGACTACTACAACTGAAGCTGAACTGCTTAAACTATTGCAGTAATGCAACGTGAGCATGCAGACCATGAAGGTCCTGCTTTCCTGGCTTGAGCAGTCCTGTCCCAGATCTAGCTAAAGTTAAAAATTACACAACGCTCTCTGGGCTTCGCCCACTGAGTCATGTTGTTCAGCACGACTTGAATGCACACTCACTTACTCAGAGACATTACTGTGCTCAAGACTTGCTAACCCAGGGATTTCTGCCATGGAGACAGAGGAGCATTTTACCATATCTGCTCCCGAATCAGTGTCACAAAAATCTAGGCATGCCATCCAGCTGCAGGGGTCTGTGTAGCTGCCAGATGATGATTTATCACAAAGCACTTTTAAATGAGCACATGCCTACAACAATATGTATATTTATTGTGCATGCAAGTACAGGAAACTACAATACTGATGAACTTTGTGATCCAGTGCCTCTGATGAGTCCAAGAAGTGCTCACCAGAATGAAGGTGAGCAACTTTCCACTGTGGATGAGATTAAGGGTTAAAAGCACGGCTAAAAACCACGAAGAAATGCTACTTTTGGCTACATTAATCTGTTTTATCCCACTCTCAGTTTAACATTAGCTCTATCTCTAGTTCTGTCATGAGCATGTTTGATCCTAGAGCTGTCCATTTCAGATAATGGTGGCCTAGTCTGCTTGATTATTTCATGTACTGCTACAGTAGTTTGTGTCTGAGGCTCATCCATGTGGCCACAGATACAGCCAGCTGATTCATTTCACTCTCTCTCTCTCTCTCTCTCTCTCTCTCTCTCTCTCTCTCTCTCTCTATCTCTCATGTGGGCAGGTACAGTCAGAGCTCTTTCCAATAAAAGTGTAAAGAAATGATCTCAATATTGCTGTTTATTTAAAAGAACACCATCAGTGACTCAACTGCAAATAAGAGAATGAAAAAGAAAGTTCAATTTACAGAACCATTAAAGAAGAATGGACTGAGGGTTTTAATGGTTATAATTTCATTTATCTATTCTATAATCTATAATAAATTTTAAATATTTACAACTTACAGCACACAAATTGCTGTTTTTATTGCATTATTTACTTTTTAGAAAAAAATAAGCACTTTAAGATTAATTGGTGATTAAAATAATCACCCAGAGTGGAAGGAGCTGAGCAGCACCGCAGTACATTCGATACAGGCCTTCGCTGTCACTCTACAAGTGATTTACAAACTAATTGTAATGCCTGCTTAAAAACAAGCAAGAACAAAATAATGAATAGGCGGCGATTCTAAGAAAGGCATTAACGTTTCATGAGGTGGTCTCCAACTGGTTCCTGTTCAGACGGATCCCATTAAGATAACACAGGAGAAAAGAAAGGCCTGCTCGGTTTCAAATCGGTGTATGGTAATACTGGTGAGAGGCAAAATAAGCAAAGAAGACAGAAAAATATGCAAAATGGTGCCACTAATACCTCAGTTGTAGCTGTAGAAGGGAGTCTAGTATGGGGCTGTACTGCCAGTTAACGGAGCAGGCCAGCAGCGTGGGCATCATCCACAAGAATGTTGGAGAAATATTGAACCCCGCATGTCAACACGTTATGTGAGGCAGAGCGGGGGGGGGGGGATTTGGGCTGCATGTACTAAGTACAGTATGTACAGCGCCTCTACTTCCCCGCATTTCAGCACCGTGGACAGCGTCATCGGCACATTTCAGCACCGTGGACAGCGCCAGGTCACTCCGCACCGACTGACGCGGAGGCTGCGCCGAACTGTTGCTTCCCCACACAAAACTACCACCCCCCCCCCCCCCAAATAATTGCCTGTTTGGGCTTGAAAAACACCTGCAGTGGTTTTATGATGGATAAACGGATGGCTGGATGGACATGAACGATTAAATGCGATACGATTAAGTGTAAAGCCACTAGAAGTGCTGATATAATGGTGGATTGCCCACCGGGGCTCTCATCCTGCAGTCTTTATGACACGATCATGACAAATGTAAAGCCTCGACAAAAAAGTGTATATGTGTGGGTGTGTATATGTGAGGGTATCATGTGCGAGCCAGCATGAGTAGCCCTGCAATAACAAGCTGTAGAGCATCTGGACATGACTCATTCCCCCTAATGAAAACCTCTATAGTATAATCATACGCTATAGACACTTTAGCCGTGGCTGTGGGGTTCAGGACCCACTTTATAATGGCCGTATGGTACCTTATGGCGTTATCTTTCCATTTACTAATCTTTTTGGTTGCATACAGCTCTCTTTGACATTTCCTTTTTTTTCCCATCAAAGGCTCTGCTGATCTTGCATTGGACACTTCCTGAGGGTCAAAGTGCACACACATGCAAGGGAGGAAATGTACAGTGTGGTACAGTGCAGTCCCTGTCTTTGCAGCAGCAGCAGCAGCAGCAGCAGCAGTTATCTGTCTACAGGTAGACTCCAGCTTCACTCCAACCTACACCTGTTGGAGGGACGCAGTCACGATGCCCCCTCGTGGTTTCAACACGAATCGCCTTTTTTTCCCCCTCTCCCCCCTCCAGATATGCTCATAAGAAGAAAAGGCTAAAATGCTACATTGACGCATTTTTTTTTATTTTACAACACTAAGAGTATAGGAGGCTGATTTAAAGCACCGCCTGCGGTTGTGTACAGACTGCGATAGCATCTTTAAGGTGGTGGGTTGTAGGCTGTATCATCCCACGCAATTTCCCTTTCTATGCAGTCACTGGCCTTGTATATCAGCCATTATAACTGTATGTGTTTTTCATTGGGTGTAATGGGCATAACAGCAAGAAAAATGGACAGGATAGCCTATGCGGGGTGTCGATGGACAGAACTGGGTGTTTCTCATGCAAAAAAAAAAAAAAAAAACTACCCTCACAACGCTGTGTGATTAAAGTCAATTAAAAAAATCTAGGAACCAAACGTCCTAAATGAACAATAAAGGCGCAATTGACTCACCAACTCCGATTTTCTCCTCTTCTGTAGGTATCCACATAATTGGTTATTTTCCCTCCGGTAGAGCAAGCCACATTATGTCGATATCGTGAGATGATGCTGCTAAAAAAAACAAAAAAAAAAACCCCACAGAGCTGAAGGCTAAACGATCCTGGCTGCTCATACATGGGACTACATGTCTCGACCGGAATCAGTATCCTGACGTTTGTGTGAGTGCAAAGGGGGGAGGAAGGACCATCAAAGCCTCAATATCTCCGCTCTATTATTTCCCGGCGTGTGTCTCCAGTCTGATGCAGTCTCCGTGTCCACCTAATGTAAGGCACACACACACACACACACACGCGCGTTCCGGTAGGCACGCACGCACGCACACGTTGAGCGGGTTTTCTGCTCTCCACAAAAGGTGTTACTGCAGCCGCATTTCAACTGGAACGGAGAGGTTTCTTTTCCTCGAAGCTTATTTATTTAATTTCTTTGTTTTTCCTCCTCTTTTCCCTTTTTTTACCCCCCCTCCTCCTCCTTTAAGCCAATCGCGCTCAAGTCCAGCTGATCCACAATAGGCTGCTCAGTCCGCGTGAACTGGCTGAATCGGTCGGTAATTAGTTAGGTAATAAGGTCGCGATATTGTTCGGCGGTCCGAACTGTCGAGCTGGTGCAAGAAAACACAGGAGAAAAAAAAACTGCAATATACCATAAGCTGCGCCATCTTCATGGTCGTCACATGACTCGTTTTGTCAACACTGATGTGTCAAGCATTTGCAAATATATGCGCTCTCTCTCTGCATGGCAGTTGCATCCATCACAAACACAAACTGCATTTTCTCCTGCTAGGGTGCTGGATGCTGGCTGGCAGTCTGCCTTTTTTGATTGAATGTGTCGCTTTGGGGGCTGTTGGCCATAAAGCAGCTCCCTGTGTTACAGATCAGGCCAGAACCCATGTGGGGAAGCACCTCCTGGTTGAGTCATTTCAAAGAAACAGTCCCACTAACCGGCGATGCTTTGTCATAGTGCAGTCATGCTCCCACACAGATGAGATGCAGCTAATTCCTAACGGCCAATTTCCCCCTTTTGAATTTGATTGATAGGTTTGGCAAACTGTGGGTTTCCCCATTAGACCTACATCACACAACCCACTAGCTGATTTATAGATGACTTCTCATGAAATAAATGATGGGATCTGAAGTTTAATTGGTGTTATTTATTCACCTGTGACTTCATGTTGTAGATTAATGTAAACCAGAGGCGTGTATGACCTGGGACTTGAGTGGAAACTTGTTACTTGCAACAACAAAAAAACAGGATTTGTTCCCACATGAGCTGCATCTGTAGATGTGACTGTAAGTGGTGAGTTCAAGGCCTGGAGCTGTATTGTTTTTAAATACATTTTATTTATTCTGTTAACTATTCAATTGTGTTTTCAGTGAATTGTATCTCCACACTTGCTTTTTTCTAAGCCTCCACCTTGTTGGGAACAAGTCTGGTGGAGAAGTCATAGTGAACTATTTACTTATTATTTAAAATACTAATTCAGAGGCAGTAACAGTAAGTGTAAGCTGACTGATTTGAATTCTAATGACGTTCTTGTGATGCACTGAATTTAGTTGAGACATCGTGTGGATTGAGTTTATGGCACATCGGTGTATCATGAAGTGACTCACTGCTGTTAAAATAGTCTGTGGGGTAACGATGAACACTATGAACACTGCGCACTCTGCTTTGCTGTGAAGCTTCAAACCTGCCGGGTTAACAGTCTACACAAAATCCACCAATATGACCTTCTAATTATTTCAGTGTGGCTGAAGGGCAGACGACTTTGAGCCACAGTATGGAGTAGAACATACTTAATAAACACAGGCTCATACTTGTGAACATTTCAGGTACATCATTCGTGTTTTTCCGAGCCGTCTCGACAAGATCTTGACTTTTAAACCAGATGAATGTGAAGTATAGTACCAAAAGCTCTTTGTCATATACAGTATCTCACCCATTGCTCAATGCATGTCTGGTAATTTCAGTGCACAAAGTTGTCTTGTCCTATAGACAAGGCAATCATGAGAAGAAAAAAAGAGTGATTTGGTGAATATTGAGCGTCCAGTGAGTTTGATGTAGTGTGGGAGGGAGGGCAGTATTCAGCAGGGTAATTTCTCTCCATCATAGCGACGTTGTGACTGACTCCCATCTGTCTATTACTTCAAGTGGAACACTGTGGGCGGTGTTCCAATCACATACATAAAGCTGGAGGAGTGTGGGGCGTTTTACAAGCTAAATAAGCATCCCAGCTAATAAACATTTGAGAAAAAAATAAAATAACAACCTTCCATCATACTTGCTAAAAATGTGCTTAAGTGAGGCTACTGCATGCAAATGGTAAAAGCCTGACACAAAGGACATTTAAAAGGATAAAAGATTTGAATAATACCTTGTGCACTTATAATACTTGTTCAGCTTGGGAAGAGCTGTGGCTACATTTAGCTCAGATGCAGCAGCAGTGTGAGGATGAGACACAGGGCCACTGCAAACAGGGATTGCCTAATACAGTGAGAGCTGCTATCTGTTTCAACACTCCCAAAGCCAGCAGACAATATAAGAGCCAGCCGAGGAGGTAATAAGAAGCATGTCCTACCAACTCATCCATCACCTGCCTTCACACAAACACACACATTCTTATTTCTTTACACTCCTCAGGATCATACATTTCATGCACTCAGTGCTCCCCGTGCAAATAATCACTGTCTATACACATGGACACACACGTGCCTGTGCAGGCGCGCGCACACGCACGATTTAGGAGACTTATTTGATCCTTCTTAATGTGGTTCTGGTGACTATTTTAATGTGTTCTATTATTAACTGTGGGGGAGGCCACAGGAAAATTTTGTGGCAAATCCCAGCATGCACAATTCGACAATGAAGAGACCTGAGTAATGTCACTTTATATAAAGGCATATAAACACTTTAAAGGGCAATAACGATGTTAATTCACCTGCAACAAATGTTAAGCATAAGTGATATATGACTAATGTACATATATAATGTGTGTGTATATATATATATAAATATATATCTAAACTCAGCTGCTGCTCATTGTTGATGCAAATGCACACTTCCCCATGCAGACTGTCTATCAGCTGTATTTCCTGCATGGTTCCAGCCTGGAAACTGATCTCATCTTACTGGAAATCAGAATAATTAACCAAAACTAACATTACTGATATGTAAAGTAAGATTTTTGCCTAACTGTTGAGGCACACGATTGATAACATATTACAGTGCACACGGTAGCTCGGCTGGTAAAGTGTAGGCTGATTACTTACTGCAGCAGCCCATATTTGATTCCAACCTACAGCTCTTTACTGCTCGCCCCACCCTCTCTCTACCCCCTTTCCTGTTTATCTTCAACTATGCTATGAAATAAAGGCATAACCCCCCCCCCAAAAAAAAAAATGTTTTAAATTAACATATTACAATAATCTTTATTTGCTGAGGAGGATCTGTTTTGCAAGAGAGACCCAATTGCAGCTTAGAGAAACAGAATAGAGAAAAGACACAACAAAGCCAGTCATACACAAGCACATAACAAGCATCATCAGAAACAATCACAGACATGTCTAAAAACATCCAAAACGATAAAACATTTAAATTCATCCAACTGGACCAATCTTCAAGTGTTAAAGGCCTTTATAATTTTTAGTAGATGTACTTTGACGGGTGCAACTGTCCCCAAGGATTACGTTGCAGTCAGTGAGGGCTCATTTCACAGCAGCCAGAATATTATCATATCTAACTTATTGAATTGAGGGTTTATTTTTTACTTTCCCAACAAAGTCGGTTTTGGTGAGGTTTATTTTGTTTCTGTCCAGTTTGTTTTACAATGATCTGCCAGGTAAAATCACCGTTGTGGCAGTGAATGTTGTTACAAACTTCAAATGAAGCCTCATTCACACTTCATTAAAGAAGCACACAAAACTAATTTTGCTGGTTTATTTATAGTAAAAATACTTTAGATACATACAAGCTGTACATAAACCATCTCAAGAAAGTCAACATAAAAGTCTCCTTATGGAAAATAAATCAGGCAAAATGAATAGATACAAGGCAAAAATCATGAAACGTTTGCACTGCTTTCAAAAGCGTGCAAGTACAAGGCATTTGTTTTCACAATGTTGAGAATTTGAAGCCTCCCCACTCAATCAGAGGAAACTCAAACTTGAAATGAAAATATCTGCTCAATTTCAGCACCATCTTGTATTTCCAATGCTTCTAAGCTCTCTTTTTCTATTCCACTTTGTTATTAGTCCTGAACCAAAGTCACTATGATAAATTCTGTGACTTTATCAACAGCACAAAACCCTGTAATCTTTGTAAGAAACATCCACTAAACCCAAATCCTTGTGTGGCACAATAAAGGGGTGTAAAAGAACAAAATGATAGAGAGCTGTAGAAGACTCTATATGTCATGTGTTGACAGTGAGTAGGTGTGTCAATATTTTTGTTACAGTGTCCACACTAGTTATGGTTTCTTCAGCAAGAGCACAAAGCTGATTTAATTTTCCTATTTACATAATGAAATCAGGAGGCGATGTTCACAAATGGCACTGCTGTGTGTGGCATTTTGGTCATCTGTTTTATGGTGAAAGCAAAACCAGAATGTGGGTTTGATGCTTGATGAACTATCGGCAACATGTTTGTGCATTACATTAGCTGCCTAATTCAATACTTTAGTACTTTTTGGTGATTATTCTAGGTGACAGAGCTTTATATCCTTTTCCACACACAAATGCAGATGCACAGCCCTGCAATGTAAGCCTTTTCACCTTAAAACACTAATATGTGACCAAACAGAGGCTTGTTAAGTGAGTGAATCAATATCAAATGAATAGGCTCATTTAAAGAGCCGTAAATATGATAAAATATAAAACTTTTCTTCACTGCATCTGCACACTAGCCATTTCGCTCATCATCAAGCCCACTTGTTTTATAAAACTATATCAAATACAATCATTTTTGCCCACCAGTAAGTCAATTTGTGTGCATTGTTTTTTTTTCCCCCCATCGATTGTTCTCACTTGGTCCTGTCACTCAGAGTATCAATATGTGTGGACACCTACTGTTTCAAACTGGCAGTGCTCCAAGTTATCTCCCACCTTATCTGTTGATATTATCCTCTTTTCTTGCCTCCTTTTCTGCAGCTAAAATGTCTGTGCGGCAGAAGTCTTGACATCTTGTCCGGTTCCTCGGTCCCAGATGCCAACGGCTCCTCACTCATTCAGGGATAAGATGATGTCATCCTCAAGGTCAGAGTTGTCGGAGCTGTCTGTTTGTGCGACAGACAAATACAGATTTTTAGGAATGTGGGAATACAGAGACTTGGTGCTGCATTGGTTAGTGGGTAAAAAGTAAAAGTGCCAGAATGGCAAAAACAAAGCAGCTTTGGCAAAATGTGAAAGAGCACCACACGCATTTTTTTCCCTCTCAAATTCATGCTTCCTCTGTTATTCTCTCAACGTCTGGAATAAACCAAGACAGCAGTTTTTAAATTCCACTGGGGAAGACAACGTTTCTTCACAGTGACCAGACAAGCAGAGAAACTGGACCAAACATCAGCCTCATTGCATCACTTACCTGAGACTGCAGATCGGGGCCCCATTCTTCAAACATAGCTCAACTTATGCAGGCCAACATGCTGTTATCAGGCTAGAAGATCCTGTTAATTCTCATCCAGCTAAATGGTTTTTGGAACGTAGATAAGTCCTCAATAACAGTGCACTCTTATTTTGAAATAATGGCAACTCTAGTTGAGAGCTGAAACGATCTTAAGTATCCATATAACTAACTGTGCCAATCATATGATTA